AAACTCAACTTCATCTGCACCACCTATGAAGGTTAGTTACTATGTGAGTGTATGTCTGATTGTCTGTGGCATCAGATTCCTTTCATAGAATTTAAAATCATGCAATTTTTTATTTGTATTTTTGAAGGTGAAGACTGAAAACAAGCTGTGGTCCATCATCCATACCCAACCTCAGTGGATCAACATTTAAATCATCTTTATATTTGGATTTCTGTACAGATAAAGGAGTGTGAAAACATGCTTATACACTTATTGTTTCTTTCTTACGTTTTGTCTTCTAAAGCTACATGGAATATAATGCTATAGAAATTTAAGATGTTAACCAGACATCATTTTTTTTATTTCCTTTAAATCACTGTATCCTTTTTGCATGATGATGATGAACATTATTAGTGAAATTACTTTTAATAATAGTAAAATTGGTGGTGGATTTTTTTATGCCAATTATTTCCATGCTAATTTTCAACTTAAACCTTCCAGATACAACAAGCTGATGAAGAAAACCTAGTGGCAACTAAAGTCTGTTGAAGATCATATTCAAATGTCTTTTTTCCTGCAAAAAACCTGCACTCAAATTCATTGTAGAAAAGAAAACACTGAGGTAGAGAATATACATTAGACAGTGAATTAAACTGTGTGGTTGGCATACAATATATGTTTCTAAATTTTCTAAATGAAATGTTAAATATGGTGAAAATGTCTTTATTTAAGCACATATTCAACAAAAAAGTAGTATTGATGTGATTCTGTAAACTGTTGAAGTTAAAATTCTTCTTTTTTTAATTCATGTACCACTGGGACCTTGTTTTGTGTCTTGTATGATTAATGTGGACCACAACAGAGACATATATCTGTCTTGTAAACTTCATTAGGTTTAATTACTCTTCTATGTGGTTTCATGCTTGCCTGTGTTTTATATTGTAATTCTTGGTTAAGCAATAAAATTGGTGAATGTCTTGGCACTGCATGCCTCTAATTGCTTTTAGTTGCCTTCACTTACATTTTTGCCACTTCACAAGCTAAAAAGTTGTAAGTACTGCATTTATCATCATAGGATCTTCATAATAAAGCTGTCCACACTTAAAATCTGAATGTTATCCTTTTGATATTTGAGCTTATTTAAGTGGAAACCAAGCTCTGACAGTTTGACCTTGTGTTGAAAACCTTTACACAGCGATACTCATGCTAGACTACACAATAGCATTTTCCTTAGTCTGAAATATTTTTAATGAAATTCATAGACAGATAAATACATTTACTCAGATTTTTTTAAACAGACCAAAAGTTTACATATACCTTGGCTAAAGATGTTTAAACTCAAATTGTCCACATATTTCATGTTGCCATTCATTCCGTTTGGCAAGTCAATTAGGTGTCTTAGTGATTCAGATCAGAGGAAATGTTCAAACAATCAAATAGAGACAAGTTTCCTGAGCTATGTGGTACCTGGGGGGATTCCAGGAAATTGCTTCCTCCATCGACAGTGCTGTCTGGTGTTTGGAAGAGTATCAGCAAGATGATGCTGAAACCTGTTTGGCTGAGGGAAGCGGCATCTGCTTCCACTACACTTCTCACAGTGACGTCACTTCATTTACCCCGACTCCTCTGAGTTGGGCCAGGCACCGAGTCATGCCCCAGGTGGATGGGACTATGGTGGTGTAGAGGTGGAGTCACCATCTTTCCTGCTTGCTTTTCCCTCGATTGCAGACAGAGGTGTTGGGCCAGGCACCGAGTCATGCCTTAGTTTTGACCCAGGTGGCTGGTCACTAAGGGTGTGGGACTATGGTGGTGTAGAGGCGGAGTCGACATCTTTCCTGCTTGCTTTTCCCTCGATTGCAGACAGCGGCAGCTTGTTTGGGGAGGAGCACCACCAGCATAAAACTGGCTTTTTCTGGTGTGAGAGTGAAAGAAGCTGGCCTCTCAGCTACACACACAGAAAGATGGTGAGAGAGCAATACAAACTAAATAAGTAAGCTTTTGAATAGACCTTTGATTGACACATCACTTATGTGTAAATACAGCAATGTGGTTCACTTGCATTGTTTCCCAGTCAACCCCTCCCCAGGCTGACATACTTCTTGCAAGGAGTAGCTCCATCAGTAAAAGCCTTGTTGTGCCTTAGACTGATATGCACTGGTACAAACACTGACCATTTGCAGACAATATTCATTCTCAATAAGGCTGAAAAGGTGGTCTTAGGTATGGTCTAAACTCCAAGACACTTATAATAGAAACATATTAAAAAGCTAGTTATCTTATTTTTATGAACATCACTAATCTAGAAATGAAACTGACATGCATCTCTGATAATAATGTGCTTATTATTTGCTTTAAAAATTACAGTAGTACAGCTAATGTAAATACATGCATCAATTGTGTAATTACATAAGAGAAAATATGTTGTTAATTATCAAAATACACTTGTTTAATTACACATTTATTCACATGTGAATTTTGCACGTTGCAAGCTGTAGTACTGCAACTGTAATGGGTAGGAGATAAAAGGACTGGAGAATGGTGGGTGAACCATAGAGCACTAGGACCCAGCAGCAGTAGTTAACAGAGCAACAGTAGGACCCAGGGGCATTTGGTAGCTCTAATGGCAGGACCCTGTTTTCTTATAAAGCTTACCTGTGTCTGGATTGAGTTTGTAATTCATGGTGTGTGCATGCACGGGGAAAACGCTTTGCTTGCTAGAAAGGAGAGGTTTATGAAGCCGTCTTGAAGTTGAAATTGGGGACTGCTTTTGTTTTAGTTCCCCTTTTAATTCCACATTTGCACAAGAAAAGCTAGTCATTTGGTGTTCATAACCTTCAAGACAGTCTACACAAGAAACTTACATCCATCTCCATAAAGAGGTGCTGATTATTTGTTAAGAAAATCATCCTGAGTCACATGTTCTTGCAAAGAGATTTGCATATCCTCTTCACTGGTCAAAACATTTACTGCCACTGCCCACGGGCTGATGAAACTGATAAAAGACTGTCATGGTATCTCTCTAGGAATACTTGTAAAAGAGCTGGAGCGTGGAGATATAAAGAGATACTGTATATGAACATAATTTCAGTGGAAAATAAGCAGAAACACATCACGAGGGTAAAAGAACAGGAATATTGGAGAAAGAAGAAAATTTCCTGTAGGATTCTTTAGCATTCATATTTATAGTGTGAGTAGAGCTCTTCTAAGTCATGGTTTTCCATGATAATCCTTACATGGCGTAATTGTTACCGTGCACCAATGTTGTGAAATTAGATTAAGTTTGATCTAAGCATCTAAGTGATGAAATACATTTCTCTTTCAGAAATGGATTTCAGTCTTCTTCCTTCTCTCAGGTCAGTGAGCAGTTTGTCTTTTTTTTGTCATTTACTCTAATATTAAACCATGAATAAGTTCTGTCTGGTGTTGGCTGAGGGAAGCAGCGTCTGCTTCCACTACACTCCTCACAGTGACGTCACCTCATTTACCCTGACTCCTCTGAGTTGGGCCAGGCACCGAGTCATGCCCCAGGTGGCTGGTCACTAAGGGTGTGGGACTATGGTGGTGTAGAGGCGGAGTCACCATCTTTCCTGCTCGCTTTTCCCTTGATTGCAGACAGCGGCAGCTTGTTTAGGGAGGAGCACCACCAGCATAAAAACTGGCTTTTTCTGGTGTGAGAGTGAAAGAAGCTGGCCTCTCAGCTACACACACAGAAAGATGGTGAGAGAGCAATACAAACTAAATAAGTAAGCTTTTGAATAGACCTTTGATTGATACATCACTTATGTGTAAATACAGCAATGTGGTTCACTTGCATTGTTTCCCAGTCAACCCCTCCCCAGGCTGACATACTTCTTGCAAGGAGTAGCTCTATCAGTAAAAGCCTTGTTGTGCCTTAGACTGTTATGCACTGGTACAAACACTGACCATTTGCAGACAATATTCATTCTCAATAAGGCTGAAAAGGTGGTCTTAGGTATGGTCCAAACTCCAAGACACTTATAATAGAAACATATTAAAAAGCTAGTTATCTTATTTTTATGAACATCACTAATCTAGAAATGAAACTGACATGCATCTCTGATGATAAGGTGCTTATTATTTGCTTTAAAAATGAAACTGGGTCTTTTTGCATGCCATGATCACACTAAGAGCTTTGCATATCCTCTTCACAGATCCAAAAAAAAAAAATCCTCATAGCTGTCTTTTTCTGCTAGTGTGTTTATGTCCTCAACATTTGTTTATGTGTTTATGTAAAACACACATAAGAGATGTGTGTATGTTTTGATATTATGTGTTTTCAGAGCATTTTGAGCAGTGCTTAGTTAGCAGTGTTTCCCTTATGTGTTTTGGCACCACTGTATATTAACTGTCCCTAGTAATCATGTAAAAACTTCTCAACAGTACATGCAACATTTGTGTAACAGATTAGAGTAGTACAGCTATTGTAAATACATGCGTTGACTTCTGTTTTTACTCATGTAATTACAGAAGACTATCTTGATACATGTAATTACACATGTATAACACTGAGGGTAATTGTATGTACTGCTGTTTTTCCTGTTTTTACATGACTTTTCTGTTGTATTGTAGGCGGTGTAATTATTTACTTTGTACTTTTTAGCTGCACAGGAAATGTCAATTTTTCTAACATTTAGCTTGTGGTAATAATAGGCTTGCGTGGTACTCTTAAAAAAGTAGGCAAGTACAAAATGCACTTGTTTAATTACAGGTTGATTCACATGTGCATTTACCTAAGTTGTAGTATTGCAATTGTAATGGGTAGGAGATAAAAGGACTGGAGAATGGTAGGTGAACCACAGGGCACTAAGACCCAGCAACAGTAGTTAACAGAGCAACAGTAGGACCCAGGGGCATTTGGTAGCTCTAATGGCAGGACGCTGTTTTCTTATAAAGCTTACCTGTGTCTGGATTGAGTTTGTAATTCATGGTGTGTGCATGCACGGGGAAAACGCTTTGCTTGCTAGAAAGGAGAGGTTTATGAAGCCGTCTTGAAGTTGAAATTGGGGACTGCTTTTGTTTTAGTTCCCCTTTTAATTCCACATTTGCACAAGAAAAGCACTAAAAAGCTAGTCATTTGGTTTTCATAACCTTCAAGACAGTCTACACAAGAAACTTACATCCATCTCCATAAAGAGGTGCTGATTATTTGTTAAGAAAATCATCCTGAGTCACATGTTCATGCGAAGAGATTTGCATATCCTCTTCACTGGTCAAAACATTTACTGCCACTGCCCACGGGCTGATGAAACTGATAAAAGACTGTCATGGTATCTCTCTAGGAATACTTGTAAAAGAGCTGGAGCGTGGAGATATAAAGAGATACTGTATATGAACATTGTTTGAGTGGAAAAGGAGCAGAAACACATCACAAGGGTAAAAGAACAGGAATATTGGAGAAAGAAGAAAATTTCCTGTAGGATTCTTTAGCATTCATATTTATAGTGTGAGTAGAGCTCTTCTAAGTCATGGTTTTCCATGATAATCATTACATGGCGTGATTGTTACAGTGCAGCAATGTTGTGAAATTAGATAAAAATCATAAGTTTGATCTAAACATCTAAAGTATGTAATACATTTCTCTTTCAGAAATGGATCAGAAATGGATTTCAGTCTTCTTCCTTCTCTCAGGTCAGTGTGCACTTTGTCTTTTTTGTCATTTACTCTAATATTAAACCATGAATAAGTTAAGTATGTGTCTGGAAGATGGTCTTCTTCAGGCAGTGTGAATATCTTCAAAACATTTACATTTGAACATTTGAACAGTTGTCCTTAACCTGGGAGCCAGCACCTCTTTGAGGGTTGAGACATGGTCTTAGGTGGGTCGGCAGAGTGGTGCTACAAGATATATATCTTATCAAACACAAGCAGGCCATAGAAAATGTTGATTAATGTAGATAATGTAGATTAATGCAGATTATGAGCTCTTTACTGAGGGAGGGTCTTGACTGACTGCTGAACTTGAAGCATTTTTCAGCACCAGGCTAAAGACTTGTGGTTTGGTCAAAAAGGAGGGGGACATGAAATATGTCCAACCACCCCAAAAAAAGGGTCGCACTGCGAAAAAGGTTAAGAACTGCTGGTTTAGAAGACTTGAATGTGTTATTTGTATATTCATAGTGATCGTTTACTAAGCAGCATGCAAAACACACAAAGAGCTGAAAGTTGAGGAGGAAGAGAGTCCTATCAGCTAAAAGATTAATAGTTTGGGGAAATCAATGTGAGACCAATAAATATAATTAAAACATAGAAAAGTTCTGTGGATGAACTAAATAAAGATCATGGTGACCAAATCTAATTGGAATAGAAGGTCGCTGCAATTTATGTTTATGAATCTATAACACTGACTTTTTTACAAAACAATTTAGTCTTTAATAGTGTAGTTTTGGTGAAAATTTACTTCATTCAATGTGTTTTATTCAACATTTAATAACAATTTTCTTGTTTTTCTTTATTTTATCTCTTATGCTGTAATCTGTAATGAATACCACATAAACCACTTAATGTCCAGGCTCAGTTCCAATACCATTTTGTGGATAGTCTCAGTGAGAGGTGTAGTGCCCATTTACCATTTTCATTAATTTTATATTTTTATGGTGGAATCTTGAGTTATAATTCCAACTGACACTGAAGATTTCATAATGCCCTTGAAGCTGATTGGCTATGCTCATTTAAAGTGCTTCCACTGCACTCTGCTCTTGCTTTCAGTCTTTTTATTGATTCATATCGTCCTCACTTTCCCTATTTTTTTATTAATTAACTTTGAACTCCTTGAAAACCTCAAGCTAATTGTTTTTGCACCTTATTTTCCCATACAATTTTTCTTACATTGTCCTTTTTCTGTGCAAAATGAAAAGAAATCACGCAGTGCTCAGCAGCTTTAACTGGAAAGTTCTAGGAGACAATCTTGATCTATCACTGCCTATCTGGCACGTTACAGTCACTGAGGCCCTGTGGAGTGGCAAAACAAATCTGGATTTCAAGCAACACTTTGCAAATACCCAAAGCAATGTGATATTAACCATGATCACCAAAAATCACATTTATAATGCTTATAATAAACCACAGTTATGGTTAGGTATTAGTAATCTGACCAAAGAGCAGATGTCATTTGCATCCTCATTCTCAACAAAGAAGCCGAATACAAGGTGGATGGATAAAGGCGGACAAGAAAAAAAATACTCAAGCTGAGAAGCCACAATGCTGCTATCAGCTTCAGTCTGGAAAAGGCCTCCAAGATACCACCAACTACAAGATGAGAAAAATCCCCTTTCTCCTGAATGACAATTGCCCTGAATGAGACTGCAGATTTGATGGCAAAGCACTCTTTCTCTCCTTCGCCCCCTCCCTCACCCGGGCTTTCTCAGCCCTGCCCCCTGTTCATTGCACCATTAACTTACAATACATTACAAAGCTTTTCAGCAGACAAAAGGTGAGAAAAGCTCCTTGGCCAGACTCATGCCAAATCCCATTTCACGTCTTGCCCCTACCACTTAGCCCTTAGGCCTCTGTTTTGCATATTCACGTCTAGGAGTAGGGTGTCCCAATTTTTTAACATAGAGGGTAGGGCTGCGCGACTGACCAAAGAATCCCGTAAATGTGAGTTTTTTCTCCGTTAAGGATTATGATAACTATTGTATTATCGTAGTTTATTGTTGTTTCAATGTATTTTGGTTGTCTTCTTCATAACAAGCATAAAAAATTGCTAATGCTATGCTAATGTCTCAGTAGCTAGCTAGCTGACTTTCCCGTTCTACCTTAAATAGTCCAACTGTTCTGACGCCTGAAGTGCCAGAATGTAACTGCTGCTCCATTTAAGGTGGAATGGGAAACTTCGTACAAGAAGCTGGCGAATAGCTGATTTCAGCTTCATATCAGCAAAGAATTAGGGGTGGGCGATAATAAATAATTGTCTTATACTCCCTCTTTGAAGGCATATGATGCCCTAAATGTAACTAAAGCCCAGCAGTGAGGTTGCTGAACTTTACCCTTCTCTGCTATCACTGAAGATGGGCCAGATCGCCTACAGAGCACCGCGAGTAGCTGTTAATGAAGTCAATTTTTTTTTATTTTTTTTTGAGGGTCCTATTTCGTAGGGCAAGATCAACCACTATCCCTTATAACTCAGTTCCAAGAAGTTAGGGTGATGCCCAAAAACAAGGTGTAGGGGTAAAATGAAGAAATGCAATTGGGCCTCAGTCTCTTCATTCACCAAGCATTGCTCTGATTAACTAGCACTGATTTTCACAAACATTTTCAACAAATCACTGGAACGTTGCTTTCTTTGCTCCAAATGCTCCAAAATCTCAACCATCATTCCAGTCACCCCAAAAATGAACATTACTAGACTCCAGTACTGGTCAGTAGCTCTGACCTCTGTAGTCATAAGGGGCTTTGAATGCCTGGTCCTAGCCCACCTGAATTTCATTACAAACCCTCTGCTGGATCTTCTGCAGTTTGCATACAGAGCTACCAGATCTGTTGATGATGCTGTCAGCATGATCCAGCACTATGCTGAAGCATCTTGATAGTTCTGGATCCTACACCAGAGCTTTGTTTTCAGACTTCAGCTTGGCTTTCAACACCATAGTACCAGAGCTGCTGCAGGTCAGACTGTCCCAGCTGTCTGTGCCAGATCCCATCTGCCAGTGGATCATGGATTTCCTGACCAACAGGAGATGGCAGGTCCAGCTAGGGAAACACACATAAGACCCTCAATAGTGGAGTTCCACAAGGTGTTTCCGCTCCTTCTTTTCAGTCTCTACACTAATGACTGTGTCTCCAAGGAGCCAGCTGTGAAGGTTGTAGATGACGCAACTGTGGTGATGGTCATGGCAAATGGTGATGAGTCTGCCTACAGAAACGAAGGCACGCAGCTGGTCTCCTGGTACAGAAGCAACCACCTGCTGCTGAACACACAAAAGACTGTAGAGGTGGTGGTAGACTTCAGGCACAACCCCCAATCCTTAACCCTCATTCAACATCAAAAGCTCTGTGCTTTCCTTTGTGGAGTCACTCAAGTTCCTGGGAACAACCATATCCAGGAGCCTGAAGAGGGAGAGCAACATGGTCTCCATAGCCAAGAAAGCCCAGCAGAGAATGTTTTTCATGAGACAGCTGAAGAAATTCAACCTACCGCAGAGCCTGATGATCCGGTTCTACACTATGGTCATTGAGTCCATCCTCACATCATCAATAACTATCTGGTTTGGCTCCTCTTCCTCACAAGAATGAGCCAAACTCTGGCAAATAATCAGGACAGTAGAGAAAATCATTAGATGTAGGCTGCCAACACTTCAGGACATCTACAACAGCAGGGTGATTAATCGACTAGGAAAAAATACAGCTGACCCCTCTCAACCTGGACATCAATTCTTCCAGCCACTCGCCTCTGGTAAAGGATTCAGAGCCATCAAAATCAGCACAAAAGGACAGTGGACACCTTGCTCTTTATTTTAATCTGAAACCAACAAACAACCCCATAATGCTTATTTGCAAAACTGTACAAGTGTTGATTTTTTAAATCTTCCTCACTCTGTAATATCCGGTATGTAACAGTTATTGCATTATACGTCTACTAAAACTACTGCATGCGTATAGAAACACATACCTTGATATGTACAGATAATCACACATCTCTTTAGCTAATTTCACATCGGCTCTTTATTATTCTTTCTTACTCTTATTCCATTTATTGTATTTTTATTTCATTCAGCCCTATGGTAAACGCCTGTGTTTACAAATCTAGATTCTTTCTTCATGGAGATTATCAGAACTCTTGAGTTGAAAATCAACTTCCCCAACTCATCCATTTTAGTCATCTCAGCTAAATGAAATACTGTTATCCCCCTGCTCCTCAAATCCATTACTGGTCTCAGACCACCAAGAGTGGTGGTTCCTCATCTGTTTTACAGATCTGAACCAGACTAACTAGTACTACTGTCAGATCTAAGCAGTGACCTAATGTTGACCACACCAAACTAAGGTTCTCACTCATTAACATAAACTTTGCCACTGTGATGTGTAATGTGTGAGCTCATCTTGAACTCCCACTACGAGGGTGATTCACAAGCAGTTACCTGTCACTAGCCTGAACCCACTTAAGTCATGTCTAATCTCAAGAGTTCAGCTTATTTGTTCATATTGGTGTTACTACTGATATTAACAGCTTGGGACAACAAAATTTAACAAACACTAAAATGATCTTCTCTTGAGACTCAGACAACATAGTCATAGTGAGATTGTGACAGACAGCACAACCATAAAATCTATTAAAGGCACCTCAGGTTGCACAGACCCCTCAGTACAGGGCAGAGGTAATCACTAATTTGGGCTTTCGACATGAAGCTTCAGCTGTGTCTGAAAACTGGACCCTGAGCTTGTATCAAACTTCTTCCTATATTTATGCTTTCAATGGCTAAAAGAGAGGATTCCCTGAATGCGGGGTGATTCACTGGATCCTGGAGAGATTAGCCAGATCCCGGGTTTCAGCACCAAATGGTCATAAATCTTTTTCTGCAACAATGAAGAAAGTAAGGAGACTGGAATTTGCAGGGCATGCTAATATTAGATAGCCCTGAAAATTACTGGACTGTTTTAATGCACCCCACCTTAAAGAGACTATTAAGTACAACAATAGTAACATGCATTAGAAGAATTGACATTGTAAAGACTAAACCTGATGAGAGGCCGCTATAGGAATAGGAGCCTAGGTGAGGCTGTTCTGTTCTGGGTCCAGAGGAGTCCATTGTGATCCAGAGGAAGGAGGAACCTGTGAAGTGAGATTCATGTGTAAAAATAAGAGCATGCTAATTATGTAATAAACAAATGGTACCAAGACAACTGTGTATACACATGTTTGCAAGACTAATAAACTTGACTGAGATGTTATATCATTGAGATTATGTGTTTTATTCTATGTTCTTGTCACCTAGAGTATAGACATGGGTTGGCCTAGATCCTATGTGGGAGGGGCCACCTACTTAAAAAGGCATAGGAGATCAGTTCTAGTTCAGTTCTTGATGGTGAGAGTTCTGTGTGGCTTCGCAGCCCCAGGTGTAGATACTTGGATAGCTATATTTTCCAAGAGTTGTTGTTGCTGTTTTGGGGGCCTTTGATACTCTTGACCTCTCAATTACATTTGAGTGTTTCTGCTTTTATAAGTGGTAACACCATAAGACCGGGGTCTGCAGTCCAGGGGTTTTCAGACCAGGGTGTGGTGTGTTTGAACACAGGCTAGGCCATGGTTAATGTCACATTGAACTACATCACTGCATCTGCATCTTGACTCTCTTTATTGGCACAAAATAAATAAATAAATAAATGACTTCACTTTCTTTCTTTCTTGCTTGTGTGCTCGCTTTCTTTCAAAGACCTTTTTCTTTTATAGAAATTAAGGATGATGATTTTCATTTTTACATAGCAATACTGATAATATGATTAATGGTAAGATGAAACTCATTTTACCTCAAGGCCACAGGAAATGCTCACTTTTGTTTAACCAGCCTGACTTGGCCAGCTATGTCGTAGTAAAACCATTAAGTCCATGTACACTGGGCCACAAGGCTTTCATTTCACCTCGGAAAGTGTGATGACACAAACTAATGTCTGAGAAAAAAAACAAAAAAAAAAAAAAAAAACGTTGACATCAAAGTTGGCAAATGCATACGTTACACCTACATAAGCATTGGTCCTACTTTATTTTGTGTCTCTAATAACTGTGTAGTTACACATTAACAATACACGCAATTACAATATAACTACTACTGATGTATTCACTGTTACAGATGTGTTACAGTAGTACAGTTTATGTAGATAGACACAATTCATCTTCAGTTTCTACTAATGTAATTACATAAGTATATCTTGATAGTTGTAACAGCACATTTTCTTAACAGCATAAGTACACACATATGACAGGGTAAACTGCTTTCCCAACAAGAGATTGTTGTCCTGTTTCAGACTATAACAGGAGGTGTGTAATCGCCTATATTATGAGAGTTTTTACACTTCATCTGCACAGGAAATGACAACTTCCTAACGTTTAGCTAGCTTTATTAGTACGCTGGTGTTGTGGCATGACAATCAAAGTTCTGGCATTAAACCAATCTGTAGTATATTGCACAGCAACAGCACATATCTTTATAAGTAACTCTCAGATACATAATTAAAATATGTGTTGTATTATATACAACACCAAAAGCAATGTCTGTAAAAAAGAATCTGTAATTTCCCCGTACCGTATAACAACTGCACATGAACTGTCTATTAGTTACAGTAGAGAATATTTGTGTTGTAACATGGCAACCTGATCTAACCTGAAATCAGATTGATTAATAACAATCTGTAATTTCACAGCACCTGCATAAAGATACATCTTTCAAAAATAAATGGTCATCTGCTGTGCTAATACCATTACATTACAGAATGGTTTAAAGCCAAGACTTTTGTTACCATGTTACATCATAAGCAAACTACTACAACTATTTAAATGTTAAGAAAGTTGGCATTTCTGATGCAGATGTAGTGTAAGTATTATGTAGATAATGATACACCTCCTGTTACTATAAGAAAAATCTTGTTGGAAAAACAGTTCACCTAGATCTGACTCAAGCTTATTCAGGCACAAATTAAGCCCTAATTTTTGAGACATCACCATTTCTATTCTCCCAAAGAAATGCTATTTAAAAATCGCACTCTTTCCCATGTTCTTCACAGTTGTCTGTGGTCTGTCTGCATACGTTCCTCATCGGTATCACTTTGTGAATGAGAGTAAAACCTGGATAGAAGCTCGGAGCTACTGCAGACAGATCTACACTGATCTGGCCACCATCAACAACATGGAAGAGATGAACAAGCTGACTGAAATTATAAAAGATAAATCTCTTAGGGTCTGGATTGGACTAGAAAGAGTGGACTGGCAGTGGTTACTGCAGGATGGAACAGTTTATAAAGCCAGACTGATATATAGTAACTGGGCAACTGGAGAACCAAATAATAATGATAAGGAGGTTTGTGTTCTTATGAATGAAGATGGAGAGTGGAAAGATGAAGAATGCAGCTATTCATCTCCTTTTGTGTGTTTTGAGGGTAAGAATTCAGAAATTTACATTCCTGAAAAATATTCTTCATCAATACTGAAAATCCATTGGCTGATAGCAAGTATGCAGTATTTTCTGTATTTGCAGTACTAACCTCACACCTCACAGGTATCTAGTAGCAAGAGTTTTCACTGGTTTTCCCTCTGCATAGAAAATTAGTTTGGAATTAACTACATGCACTACATGTACACGCTATGCCTTATCCACATATCTATCATTTATGGTCTATTATTTACTCCTCATTTTGGCTCTAATTTCACATCACTGAGAACATGCACATAGATTTTCATTGTAAGAGGGTGAACAGATTGAATCGGCAACACCTATAACACTTACAGGACCACACTATATCCAGAGTTTGGTCGGTAAGAGTTCATATGTCTCTGCATCATATTTTTGATGTGTAAAGAACACGATTCAGCAAAAATCAGCAATGTATAGATTTTTATTTTATTTGCGTCACATTTTTGTGAGTGAGCAAATATATGAATATGAATATATTTGACACTTCGTCTTTTATTGTTACTCTGATATGTGTTTCCATAGCGATGTTCGCTGTGCAAACACTCACTGAGAAACTATAACAGTGCGTCCAACAATAACAGGGCATCTCTTATGTAGAGATAGGAAACACAGCAGCGCACAGAAAGCACAAAACAGGACAGACTTTCATGATTTCAATGCAACAAAGTCTCTGAATGAATCACTGATGATACGTTAGGTTAGGATATGGTTAAAATATTCCAATGTTTGTGCAAAATCTGTGAAGTAACAAAAATTATCACTGTTTAGCCTCTTTTTTGACAACAGTATAAATGTGTTTTGACAACAGTATAAATGTGTAGAAGTCTTTGGGCATTTGCTGAATTCTTCAAATGTGTACTGACAGAATTCAGCAAATGCCCAAAGACTTCTATTTGAAAATTCCAGGCATTACACTCAATACAGATCGTAAGACATGGAATGTCTTATAACATCTGTTCGTATAGGTTTCATTCAAACTTTGAATGCTGGAGTAAGTAAAATAAATAAATAAATAAATAAAAACTATAAAATAAAACAAAACAACAACAACAACAACAACAACAACAACAACAACAACATCACGGATTCTCCCTTTGTCCCTCTCAGTGTGTCTTTCGCCCCCTCTATGGTAGCCACGTGTCTTTTTGTTTTCTTTGACATGCTTTTTGTTGTTCTGTGTCTCCTCCCTGGTCCTGCCCCTTGTTATCTGTTCCAGCTGCCTGTAGCTCCGCCCCTCATTAGTCTCAGGTGTGTCTCATTTCCCCTCTGTGTATTTATACCCCTGTGTTTGTTCAGTCTTTGTCTTGCATTGTGGATGTTACTCTGTTGGTGTTTCCTTGTCTCTTCAACAACTTTTTTGGAGAACACTCCCTGAGCTTTTCTGGGAACTTGTGAAAGCTCTACTTGTGCCACTATGCTGGCAACAAATTACCACAAATTCCTCACTATGAAAAATTTGTGTCATCTGAAAGATCAAATTATGCAGATTTATAACTTTCAAACAATTCTGACTCAATAACGTTTGAAAATATTCCACCATGTTTAAATGTCCCACTGAAAGCTATAGAAATTGGACACTGTATGAACCACTCAACCGAATTAGAATCTCCCCATGAAATATTATGTTTTTTTTTGGTACAACTGTTCAAAACTGTGTTTGCTAGTCATGTACTGGCTAGTGCTTTTGAGTTCTTCTCTAAATTAATTTTAACTGTCTCATTTTACAACTTTACATTTGGTTGTAAAGTTTCAGTGGTGCTGTGATTGTTTTGGTAGTGATGAAATGTTCAGTCATTTGTTTTAATAAAATAAACATAATTCGGCCATAGGGTCATTCAAAGCAAAATGATTTTAGTCTAAAGTCTGAAATATGAAAGCTTACGGTATCCAATCAAAAATAATATGCAATATTAATTAGCCAGAAATTTTTCACAAGACATTTACTAAATGTAAAAAGGTAAATGACCATGTTATTAATATACTCTGAAGGCTTGTCTGTAAAGTTAGTCATGGATGTGTGCTGGCTCATCTGGGGCCATACTAAGTTGGGTTGTTTACGTTGTTTCCACTCTTTTTCTGAATGGTTTACTTTCTGTTCCATGTTTCCAAGTCCAAAGGCTACTGAAATGTGTTTTGTTATGCTGTAAGCCTTTGTATGATGAAAAATCCATTTGAAATATATTGACACATTTTCTATTAACATTTTTTAGGAAAACAAAGTAGACATGTGTTTATTAATGATGCAAAGAGCTGGCATGATGCTCAGAGCTACTGCAGAAAGAATGACACAGATCTGGCCAGCGTGAGGAACCAGACAGAAAATGATGAAGTAAAGAAGGTAGCCAATAGAAAAACTGTTTGGATCGGCCTGTCCAGAGTCTCCTGGAAGTGGTCAGATGAGAGTTACTCCTCATTCCGATACTGGATGCAAAAGCAGCCAGATAATTCTGGTGGAAAAGAGAACTGTGGTGAAATAGTAATGACTGATGAGGGTCGCTGGAATGATGCAAAATGTGAAGAAAAGTTCTCATTCATCTGCTATGAGAGTGAGTTGTATATTACTTCTTTTATAATTTGCTCATTTTATTTACTCTTTTTAGGTGCAGTTACCTCTTTAAATTTACATATGTTGTGTGACTGTACATGAAACTTATAACTAATTGTGTAAACCATCAAAGGGCTGCATTGTTGTCTAACTTATGGACTAATCTCTTTCCTTTTTCCTTTTGTCTCCAGATCAGCTGATCTTGATCAATCAGAATCTGACCTGGAGAGAAGCTCTGAGATACTGCAGAGATCATCATGTGGATCTGGTCTCAGTTCACTCTGAGGAGATCCAGCTCTGGGTGAAGGAGGTGGCACAGAAAGCCTCCACTGAACATGTGTGGCTGGGTCTGCGTCACACCTGCACCCTCAGCTTCTGGTTCTGGGTGAGTGGAGAGTCTATCTGCTACCAGAACTGGGCACCAGGTAACGGGTCCGGAGAAGAAGACTGCAGCTTTGTAGAGAGAACCGGAGCAGTGCAGTCTAGAGGAGGTCAGCAGTGGGTCAGCCTGCCTGAGGACCAGAAACTCAACTTCATCTGCACCACCTATGAAGATTAGTTACTGAATGCGTGAGTGTATGTCTGAGTGTCTGTGGCATTAAATGGTTTTGTATAGACTGCATTTAAAATTTTGCATTAAAGATGAAGAATGAAATCAAGCTGTGGTCCATCATCCATACCCAACATCAGTGAAGCCACATTGCTGTTACATCGATATTTGCATTTCTGAACAGATTAAGGAGAGTAAAATGAAGCTTAACACTTTGTCTTTGTGTCTTAAGTTTTGAAACTAAACCTGTTTAAATTGCAATCGAGATTGAAGGTGGTAACCTGACATCACATATGCTTTATTTTATGTAACTATAGTCATTATATCTTGATTCTTTTTCTTCTTTTTAAATAGTTGTTTCTGAGCTTTTTTAACTGTAATTTAACTATTATTATGATAAGTAAGCTGTAGTAGTTAGCAGTAGTAATAGTAGAGGTGTTACTAATAGTAATATTGGTGGTGGAGTTTTTTCTTTTTTAATTTTCAATTTTAACATCTTCTGTTAAATGACACTAACAAATCTGGGAGTGTTGTGGCCCAGACTCTAAAGCTAATGAAGAAAAACAAATGTAAGCTAATGTAGACTGTTGATCGCCTTCCATCGTCCTAGGGTCACCTGAAGATTCCTGTAAAAACTGCACTCAAGCTGGACTTCCACTAATGACCAGCTTGCATGAACTCAATATGCCTGTGTGAAAGGAAACAACTCTCTGTAGCAAAAGCTAACAGAGGTTTGTAAATCTGCAACATATAAAGTCAAGAACATATTATATAAATGTCTTATAATCTTCAAATGTCTTTGTTTTAACCAAACCCAGGGCATAAAAGTGAAAGTAAACAACCTTCTTACAGTTCTGGAACCACTAGGATCTTGTTTTACATATTTTATGATTAATGTGGTGACAGTCCATCCCATCTATCCAAAGTTCTAGGTTAATTTTAACTCTTCTGATGCTTTATTTATGAAGTTTGTATTCTTGTTATTACACAATTTGCTAGAGTTGCACAAAAACTGCACATAATGATCTTGATAATGGTTTTATTCAAATCGATTTTGTACTATAACTGCTGTGTGTACATATTTTTTTGCAACTCCTCTGTTTATTTTAAATTTTGGTCAAGCAATAAAATTGACGAAGGCCTCAGCACCGCATGGCTCTAACTGCTTTCAATTGCATTAAATTGCATTCTTGTCACTGCACCAGCTCTAGAATTATAAATACTGCAGTTATCACAATAGAAATGTAATATTGAGGCAAATTTAAAACCTGAACATCTTATGTTAACCAGTTTGTTCTTTTGTTGAATGCTTTTATACAACAATGTTTGAATATCTCAAACTATGCTGGACTTCACAGTAGCATTCCTCATCAATCGGATGTATTTTTAACAAAAAAAAAAGGAAAAAATATAGTTAACAATATAGAATATAGAATATAGTTAATCCATTGTTTGTTTGTATTAACAATCAAGGCCAAATGTTTATATATAACGAATAAGCGAAATACATTCCAGCTCTGTTTTTTTTTTGTTTTTTTTTTCTTTTAGCATGTCAATTAGGATATCTTTGATCACATCAGAGAAAATTTTCAAACAATCGATTAGAGATAGATTTATTCAGAGTTAATTCACTCAGAATTTTAGTGAATCAGAAGTTTATATACATACAGACAAGACTGTCTTATGCTTGTTTGTCTTTGATACTGTACCATGGTAAAATCCTCGCAGCTTAGCCTTGACCTCCAAAAAAAAGGCTGGTTTCCTAATAAGAGCAAATTCCAAACAACTGAAGGTATCATCTATGCAAACAACTGTATGCAAATATAAATATTTTGGGACCATACTAAATTCAAAAGGTTTACTTGAACCCTAAGACATCAACACCAAACTGGTGAAGAAGTGGGAGACCAAAGTTACCAAAGTTTCTACATCTGCGATTAATAGAGAGTCCTAGATTGTCAAGATCTGAAAGATTGTTATGTTAAGAAGATAACTCTACTCCAAGACTGGCATAAAAAAAGTCAGTTTGAAGTCTGCATGTGATCACCAGGACAAAGACTGAGCATTTAAGAAGAGTGTTCTTTGCTTAAATCAAGTACCAATTTGCTGTTAAATATGGAAGAAAACAATCGAAGCTTTTAATCCAAAGAACACTATTCTGACTCTAAAGCTTAGATGTGGCAGCATCACTTTATGGATGAGTTTTGCTGGAAAAGGGATTTTTACACTTGAGAAACAACTATGAAGGGGTAAAGTACAGACCCTGGTTGATTTACCAAAGAGAGTGTATAGTAACATAAAATGCATGGAATAAAAAAAAAAAAAATGGTTTAAATGTCTTTAGCCTAGTTGTGCATTAACTTCAGGCCTTAAATGTTCATCATTCTGCATGTTGGAGGAAATGCAAATACTCATGCAAAAACTGTATATTTCCTCTTCACTGAGTCTGTATAGAGACATTCACTAAGTCTGCCACTGTCCAATCACTGATGGACACAACAGAGGTGGAGCAGTATTAGAAGAGTAAATATTTTAAGAGATGAGATGCTGTATACAACCATAACATGAGGTGGAGAAGAACACAACCACATTACGCAGGGAAAAGTTACCTTAACTTTACTATCAGGATGTTTTTTACACATAAAGGTGAAGAAATACTATTTTCCAGTAGGATGGTTTCAGTAATACAGTAATGTAATGAGATTATATTAAATGGTTTAAATATTAAATTGCTTTCTCTTGGAAATGGATCTGAAATGGATTTCAGTCATCGTGCTATTCTCAGGTCAGTGTGCACTTTCCCTCTACTAACAGCTTCATATTGCCATTAAGTTAGTGTCTGGAAAACTGTCTCTTAAAACTTTGTTTTCGTCAGCACATTTTGTTATTTTCAGGTCAGAAAATTGGTATGTTTTATAAAAAAAAAAACAAAAAAAACTGTGTAACAATACATGTAACTGCTGGTGATGTATACACTTGTGTAATGACATGATATACATGTTCATTTACATAAACTGTACAACTGTAATCCATCTGTAACAGTAAATACATCAGCATGTGTTGCATGTATTGTTAATCTGTAACTACATGGTTATTAAAGGCACTTTATTTAAAATGGGGCCATTGTGTTTGAATTATGGCCAAATGAATGGTCAACACAAAGCATACATTAGTGTAATTATTTCTCCTGTTATTTTTTGCATTTTGAATTATATGAATAATAGTTAACATGTTGTTAATGTGTAACCACACTGTTTTTAGAGATACTTACTTTTAAATTGAACCAGTGAGCTAGCAGGCCACCAATATGTTGCCCCTATCTTTGAATAGACTCAAGTCTAAGTATTTTGAATCAACAGTTTTTAGGATAATTACATTGCAAACTTACCTACCATGATTTTCTTTTGAAAGAAAGTTTTCCATTCTCATTGAACTGCATTGTCAGTGTGCTGAGATACCTTGTTGTTAGGTGCTTCTGGGCCATTTTGTGCATTCTCCCAAAAAATGGCTTAGAAATGTTGCCAGGATCAGGCAACATTGGAGAGCGATTTAATAATGTCCATTATGAGTATTTGTGGTGTAGATAGTATTCGAATGACATTGTATTTTTTGGATTTCCAGGTTTTCGCGAAGTGTCTATTTTTAAGAATTGCATGTGAAAAAAAAAATAAAATAAAATAAAAAAAAATAATAAATATATATATATATATATATATTTACAAGTGAATTTCAAAATGGATACAACATAGCTAAACATCACTTGCCATAACATGCCAGTAAGTGTTGTGGTCACACTCAATGCCAACAACAATCTGAAATACGATGGTATTTTATGGTCATTTGCTAATTTTTTGCTGGTCTAAGATGGTCAAGGTGGGTATAATATTCTCTTTGCTGGTCAACTAGTTAAGCTGGTTAAGGAGTTACACCAACTTGGTCAAGCTGTTCATGCTGATAGATGAGCCTGGTAAAGTTGATAAAGTTTATAGACTTGGTTGGGTTGGAAGACCTAATATACCTGGTCATACTGGCAGAGGTTGCTACATTGTTTAGCAGGTTAGGACAGCTTTACTCTAATGTTGATATTTTAAGTTTGTTACTCAATAACCATCAGTTAACCATGCCGAACATGCTAAACCATCAGTCGAAAGGGAAATAGCTAAATAAGCTAATTGTTAAACAGTGCTAACTAGGACGTGGCATTGTATAAGATACTATTGCTTGTATATGGATACTAACAAAGGTGTGAAATGAGGAACAGGTGTGTGATTAGAAGTCTGGTGAGGATGAGCACTGATAGGTTGGTCGGTTGGAGTCCAGAGTCATGTGAAGCAGTGAGGGGTTCTGGGAATTGTAGTCAGAGGCGGCAGAGGCAGCTGTAGTTCCAGCCATGCCGGAGGAGGCATGACAACACTTCACAGAACAGGTTTGATTCTGCCTTTCTGCCAACATAAGTCACTTGACTTTGCTCACTCTTTCTTTATACTTTAAACTTGCATTATAATCTACAAAGCATATATGACAAAAATATGATGAATGGTGGCCTCTTTATAAAGCAGGGCTGAAAGGAGCCTGAGGAGCACATGCATGTTGTTTCGTTCAGATTGCGTCGTCCTACCGAGAGTTATTACAGAATATTCAGAGCCTCTTTCGAGTGAATCTACCTGTAAAAGGCTGTGCCTTTAAATACTAAAGAAGTGAATGTAAATATTTGACCCACTAAAAGTCCGATATAGGAAATGAAAGCTAAAATATCAGACTTCAACAGTTTTTCAGCTATGATGTTAAAATCACCTCTTATGAAAATAAAGTACAGACCCTGGTTGATATACCAAAGAGAATGTATAGTAACATAAAATGCATGGAATTGAAAAAAATGGGTTTAAATATCTTTAGCCTAGTTGGGCACAAAGCTGGTACAGAAAACCAGACGTGTGCAGTCTGTATATATAAACAAAGCTGCCATAGCCAAAAGGGGCAAAACAGGGATCGTAGTCAAAAAACAGTCCAAAAGTCAAAACACAGATCATACACACAAGCGAAAGTACCAAAGGAATAGGCAAGAGGCAAAAACGAAGCAAAAGGTCAAAACACAGTAAACAATCAGAACAGGATGAAAACGCTGAGTAGTCTCAGAGAAACAATACCTCGCAGTGAGTCTAACTAAAGCCCGGGCTTATCTACTCTAAACTACCTGTCATATGATCATCAACACAGGTGAAATCAGTCAGAACTCAGGCGACTGCGAGCGCTGATGGGAGCGCCTGTGAGAGTTCGAAGTCACGTGAGACTCCCTAGTATTCTGGGAAATGGAGTTCTCTTCGGAGTCGGATTCTGAGTGCGGCTGTTCAGTCACATGATCTTCCAGAGAATTCTGGGAGATGAAGTCTGTGTCCTCCATAGAGTGAGCCGAATGCGTGACAGCTGGCCTCAAATGTTCACCATTCTGCATGTTTGAGGAAATGCAAATAGTCATGCAAAAAACTGTATATTTCCTCTTCACTGAGTCTGTATAGAGACATTCGCTAAGTCTGTCACTGTCCAATCCCTGATAGACACAACAGAGGTGGAGCAGTATTAAGAGTAAATATTTAAAGAGATGAGAAACTGTATATGACCATAACATGAGGTGGAAAAGGATACGACCTATCAGGATGTTTTTCATACATACAGGTGAAGAAATACTATTTTCCAGTAGGATGGTTGAAGTACTCGTATATATGAAAAAATATGATGAGCGGTGGCATATTTATAAAGTAGGGCTGAAAAGAGCCAACTGGATAGAGAACTCTGTTTTTCTTGGTGTTTACAGTGTCACTGCTACTAAAATCTGTGTAATGATTCTAAAAATTCATCATTCTAAGAAATATGCCAATTTTTTTTTCTTAACAAACATTTCCCTGCGCACATACTAGAAAATAAAATTAATGTAAAATGGTGTGCTACATTGTGATGCATCGAATCATAAACTTGTATTTTTCCCTACATTTCATTTATTTTAACAATTTAAGACAAAAGAGTTTAAATCTTGAAAAATGATGTGACGTTTCCATTCTAATTTGGTTTTATTCACACAGGCATACTTAGAATTTAAAAAAACAATGAGCGCTCTCAATAATTATCTCAAAGCAGTAAATGTTTTAAAGATGTTTTGCTATCTGGTGTCAACGAGTGGAGTATGGGTTCCAATTTTTTTGTCTTTTTTAGAGTTTTTCTTTGCAACTATTGCCCTTGGTTTGCTTACTTGGGACTTGAACCCAGATTTTTGTAAAGCTGCTTTGTGATAATATCCAGTCTAAAAAGTATTATACACATAAATGCTCTAAATACACAAATGTAGGTTGAGAAAAAATACAAACATACAGCCTCATTCTTAAACCCACTTAAACAGTTTTCTTATGTGGGATTTGTTCTTAGCTATGGACAGAATCTACTCACATTCAAGAGCACAAAGGTGAGAACAGTTCTGCACTTTAAGAACACGTCATGAACCTTACGTAGACGTAGAAAAAAATGAAAAAAATCAATGGCACTCTTCATTCAGTTGAAATAAAGAAAAACTTTCATTATAAAATGATTATGGAGAAAAAAATGTCTCAATGCATTTTGGCATAAGCCTTCAGATCTCCCACACACTGAAAGCCATTTGAGCATTTTTACTTCTTACGTTGCCACAAACAGAAAATGGACACTTTTAAGATCACATATGACCAACAGCTGAATTGGTCAGACTTTGAAGATGAGACTACAATAAATTCAAACTGTCATCACCACTGAGCAGCTTTTTAGTTGGCAGCTGTGACAGAAGAACACCTAAACAACCTGGAATTAGCCAGAAATTAATCGAACACCATTCGCCAAACAAAGCGGGCTGTAAGATGCCTTACAGACTGGCTGGAACAAAACAACATTAATATTGATCTGGCAAAAATTGACAAAACTGAGCTAAATGTGATATTGTGGCAGGTTTATGGCTCAGCCCAATTTGGTCAGACTCTGAAGACGAGACTACACGTTTGGTGAATGGTATTGGGTTCATTTCTGGCTGATTCCAGGTAGTTTAGGTGTTCTTCTGTCACAGTTGCTGACTGAAAAGCTCGCTCAGTGGTGATGGCAATTTCAGAATTTAGTGTAAGTAGCTGAAAAACAGACTGCCGCTGTGCAGCGAGTGAGCGGAGTTTGTTACTTTGACGTAGCAACAAGCTTCTTTTTAAGGAACTATAATTTGGCAAAAGGAACTACTAACATTAAAACATTAAATGGCGCGTTCACAGCCCAGTTTATTTAAGTGTTGTATAAAAGCAATAGAACACTCGAGGTCAGTAAAACATCACCTTGTATTTGTTTTCTTGTGTTCTTCACAGCTGTCTGTGGTGTATCTGCGTATGTTCCTCACCAGTATCATGTTGTAAATGAGGGTAAAACCTGGACTGAAGCTCAGAGCTACTGCAGACAGAACTACACTGATCTGGCCACCATCAACAACATGGAAGACATTAACACAATTCCAAATGACAAACTTCTGGAAGCTTGGATTGGTCTGGAAAAAGTGAAGTGGCAGTGGTCTCTGCAAGAAGAAATGTTCTACAGGGAGCTGGACTACAGTAACTGGAAGAGTGGAGAACCAAGGGATACAAAGGAGATCTGCGTTCAAATGGAAGCTGATGGAAAGTGGAATGTTAAAAACTGTGTTGAAAAACTTCCTTTTATGTGTTATGAAGGTAAGATCTGACAAATATATCTTCCTGAAAGACAAATTACTAATGGGATGTGTTTTTATATCTGAACCTTATATTGAAAAGAAATTCTGTATGGACCTTTGACTTAAAATATTGAGACATTAAAATATTGTGGAATTAAAACTATATCTATGTAGGATCTTAAACAAAATATCAGAAATGACACAAAAATAAATTAACCAACTTACAACTGATGTAACTGATGCAACTGATTAAACTTCACATTTTGAAGCTTATACATGAAGAAGAAATGTTAACTTTACCGGAACAGGAAAAACATTAATACATAAAAACATAATTTTAATGTAAGTCAATGGAACCGGACATTTTCCCAAGTGAGAATTGCATTTTTGGAATGATCATGAATGGCAGTAAACATTTTAAATAAGCTGGTGCTGAAATGGCCGAGCAGGTTGTGGTCTGTAGAGCTCATATTTGCTTTATAATTACATAATTGCAATACTTCTAGGATCTTACAAATGTACTGAACTTCTTGTTCTATGCCCTCAACACTTACAGTTGCAGATACTGGAGAATCGATTTGTTTTATGTACAATTTAATTTAATTTATACTGTTATGAAACAAAAATAGCTATTAAACATGTGAAAATGACAACAATGACATAAGCCTATTTTCTGGGTCAATTACAATTGCAATTGTAAAGTATTCACATGTGACAGTCACACATGCCATATGTTGTTATTTTCAGGAGACCCTGGGCTACTCAGATATGCCATTGTTTGACATGTAAATGCTAAAAGAAATTTGATATCTTTATGAATTTGAGTCATTTCTGATCAAACATTTACCTAGCGCCTGCTAAATTTAGTATTTTTATTAAAGAGATCTTGAAAACAGGTGCAGTAGTAGTTATCTTTTCAGAAATTGTTAGTCTGGAGTGTCTGTGAGCTGAAAGTGCAATAATGTTGATGTTAATTCATTCTATTGGTTATTATAAGTAAAAATAAACAATTAGCATAAGGGAGGCATGCTTTTTATTGACTTTCTGTCCTCTTGGACTCAGTGCTAAAACTCTGATACACAGGAAGAAAGGCTTTATTTTTAATTACAAATTGAGTTGCATATTTAATATCAGATATTTTTAATACTCAAAATCAATGTAAACTGAAGGCCCTTTGTTTATAATATGAAGGCTAAAAGCAGAGATGTAGTGAAACAGTAGCGAGTGGGTTTAGGTGATTTTGGAGCTGGATCTCTGGCTGATGGACAGTCACAGGTGGATGAAATCACTCTGGATGGTGAAGCAGAGTCTGATGAGTGATCTGATGTGTGAATCATGCTGCTGTTTTAACCCTTTGTTGGAATATGAAGGCCAAACAGCAGAGCAATAATATCAGGATTTTAGGTGATTTTCTGAGCAGAATTACTCACTGATGATGATGTCACAGGTGACACTAGTTAGGGGTGGGTCTGCTGAATGTCCTGATATATGGATCATGTTTGTATCTTAAACCGTTCTGAAGTTAGAAGGCTAGAAGTGACCTACCATTTTGCATTACTCCGGGTCCTAAAGGTTAAGTTCTAAAAGCAGAATTCCTGATTCCTTCAAATTTGACAAGTTGCCCAGGCCCTGAAGCGGAAAAGCATCTCCTTTCACTGTTGGTATGCTGTTCTTATTGTGAAATGCAGTGATAACTTTACAAAGTTCCAGTTTTAACTCATTACTCTACAGAATATTCCAATACATTTTGTAGTTGATCGAATATTCCAATACATTTTGTAGCTGATCTGTTACAATTTTTTTCAGGAAAAAATGCACATAGATACATATTGATTAAGGACAAAAAAAACTGGCGTGATGCTCAGAGCTTCTGTAGAGAACGCTACACAGATCTGGCCAGAGTGAGGAACCAGACTGAGAACAAGGAGATAAAGAATGCAGCCAAAGGAAAAACTGTTTGGATCGGCCTGTTCAGAGTCTCCTGGAAATGGTCAGATCAGAGTTACTCTTCATTCAGGTACTGGAAGAAAAACCAACCAGATAATTTTGGTGGAAATGAGAGCTGTGTGGAAATGCTCAAGTCGGGTCAGTGGAATGATGTAAACTGTGAAACAAAGTTACCTTTCATCTGCTATAAGGGTGAGTCACATTTACAGTCTGTTTATAGACGTATGTAGAGCTTATAATTATTAATTATTATTATTATTATTATTATTATTATTATTAACTATATTAATAAGAATTGAAAATACACATTTTGTTAATCAAGCAGCACTGCAAAGTAGCTTTACATTTGTTTTATGTATAAAGACCACAAAGAAGAATTAAATTGTATTAAAACAACAAAATCTGTTTGGCAACTGTTTCTGTGAATTCCATATTCATAATTTAGTATAAATGCATTCACGATTGCTCTTATAGTATACATAATTCCTTATAATGCATGGCATAAATCTGTATAATTATTCATAAGTAGTTGGCTGAAGCTGAAACATCTTTATGATCTGAAACAGATGAACATCATAAAGCATTACAGAAATATGGAGTCATGTACTCTTGCTGGTAATGCTTTCTTTTACAGTCTTAACCAGGTAAGTGTGAGGTACAAACTCCAAAGTTCTAGATAATTACTTTGGGTAAAATGATGGTAAGTTCCAAGACAGTCAAAATTGCACTGAAATGCCCAACATGTAGGTGTTAGCTAAGTACATGTGAGGTAACTGATTCTAAAACATGGTACATTAATAAAGTACTAAGAGTCTTACACCAATCAGGCATAACATTACGACCACCTCCTTGTTTCTATGCTCTTTGTTCATTTTATCAGCTCCACTTACTATATAGGTGCACTTTGTAGTTCTACAGTTACAGACTGTAGTCCATCTGTTTCTCTGCATACTTTGTTAGCCCCCTTTTACCCTGTTCTTCAGTGGTCAGGACCTCCATGGACCCTCACAGAGCAGGTACTATTTGGGTGGTGGATCATTCTCAGCACTGCAGTAACACTGACGTGGTGGTGGTGTGTTAATGTGTGCTGTGCTGGTCTGAGTGCTGCTGGAGTTTTTAAACACTGTGTCCACTCACTGTCCACTCTATTAGACACTCCTACCTTGTCAGTCCCCCTTGTAGATGTAAAGTCAGAGACGATAGCTCATCTGCTGCTGCACAGATTGTGTTGGTCATCCTCTAGTCCTTCATCAGTGGTCACAGGACGCTGCCCACAGGACGCTGTTGGCTGGATATTTTTGGTTGGTGGACTATTCTCAGTCCAGCAGTGACACTGAGGTGTTTAAAAACTCCAGCAGCACTGCTGTGTCTGATCCACTCAGACCAGCACAACACACACTCACACACCACCACCATGTCAGTGTTACTGCAGTGCTGAGAATTATCCACCACCCAAATAGTACCTGCTCTGTGAGGGTCCATGGGGGTCCTGACCACTGAAGAACAGGGTAAAAGGGGGTTAACAAAGTATGCAGAGAAACAGATGGACTACAGTCTGTAACTGTAGAACTACAAAGTGGACCTACATAGTAAGTGGAACGGATAAAATAACTTAACCACTACTTTGGAGTTGTTTTAGATTTGAGTATGTTTGTACCACCTTGTTACTCCAAATAATGATGAAATATTTTACACTGTTTCATTATCAAGTACATAGTTAGAACCTGTTAGTCATTTCAGTCTAATTCAGTTAGACCTTCTTGGTATTTACCATCACTTTACCAAAAATAAAAACACACCACTTTGGAGATAACTCACACTTACTCAGTTAATATCTAGAACCTGTATGGCATTTTACTGTGATTTAAGTAAAACTGTATTGAAAAGTTGTAATTATGTTACCTAAAATAACCATCAAGACTTTTCTCACACTTACTTTGCCAGTACCTAAAATTCAGGGGACTGTAAAAGAAAGCATAAGCTTCTTGCTTTCTCATATCAAACTGTTATCATTTGTTTGTACATAAGTTTTATTACACACTCCTGTAGCCTAAAAATAGCTCAACCAGTTTGCATTGAAGTCCCTGTAGTTACTGAATAATAAGGCTTATAATGTACTAAGCCTGGGTTAAGCTTATATTTGAACGAATATATAAAATATGTAAATGTATAGCTCATCATATATTGCAAATGATTTTCAGTAAAAAAATGTACATACATATTGATTAATGGGGCAAGGACCTGGAGTGGTGCTCAGAGCTACTGCAGAAAATATCACACCGACCTGGCCAGTGTGAGGAACCAGACAGAGAACCAGAAAATTTGGGATTTGATTCAAAATGTAAGCAGTAAACGTGTTTGGATCGGCCTGTTTTACGACTCCTGGAGGTGGCCAGATCAGAGTGACTCCTCATTCAGATACTGGGCATCTAGACAGCCAGATCATTTTGGTGGAAATGAGGACTGTGCTGCAGTGTCTATGACTGACCAGCGTCACTGGTCTGATGTGAACTGCAAAAACAAGTTACCATTCATCTGTTACAAGAGTGAGTTGTGTTTTAATTGTTTTATAAACCAACTTTAAGTTCAATGACCTTTTATGATTTTACATATGTTGGTTGTACCTCATTATGTAAACCATGAAAGTGCTGGACTATGGTCTAAATTATTCATGATTCCTTTTCTGTTTTTCTTTTGTCTCCAGATAAGCTGATCTTGATCAAGCAGAATCTGACCTGGAGAGAAGCTTTGGGATACTGCCGGGTGAATCATGTGGATCTGGTCTCAGTTCAGTCTGAGGAGATCCAGCTCTGGGTGAAGGACGTGGCACAGAAAGCCTCCATTGACCATGTGTGGCTGGGTCTGCGTCACACCTGCACCCTCAGCTTCTGGTACTGGGTGAGTGGAGAGTCTATCTGCTACCAGAACTGGGCTCCAGGTAACGGGACAGGAGGAGAAGACTGCAGCTCTGTAGAGAGAACCGGAGCAGTGCAGGCTAGAGGGGGTCAGCAGTGGGTCAGCCTGCCTGAGGACCACAAACTCAACTTCATCTGCACCACCTATGAAGGTTAGGTATTGTTTATGTGAGTGTATGTCTGAGTGTCTGTGGCATCAAGTGTTTTTTTTATTTTTTATTTTTATACACTGCATTTAAATTTTGCTAATTTTTCTTTGTATATTTGGGGGTGAAGACTGAAAACAAACTGTGGCCCATCATCTGTACCCAACCTCAGTGGATCAGCATTGCTTTCATGTCTATATTTGCGTTTTTGTGCAGATTTAAAAGGGTGAAAAGATGTTTATTATCATATTCTTTAATCATATACCTTAAGTTTTCTAACAAAAGCAATTTGCAATATATTGCTATAGGAATTTAAAATGTCCAGACATAAAATGTTTTATTTTATTTATTTATTTTTTTACTTACATCATTATATTTTTAATGATTTCTCTTCTGTGTGATTCATCCTGAACATAGAATCAGGAACTAAAAATGACTGACTGGTTCACTGCTATGTTAAATCTGTTGCCAGAGAAGTTCCAGCATGCTGGCCATATATAAAGGCTATACCTGATAAAACGGTACTTTTTGAAAAAACATACAACAAAAACAGAAGACTTGCGCATATTTTATAGTCTTATAACAGCTTGACTTATCAATGTTAGTGCATGTAGCAATGTTTTATCACAAGCCGTGGGCATTTGTCCTTTTTTTGAATGTATGAATTTTGAAACAAATATTTGAATCCCTGAACAAAATTATTATTGTCAATAATAAACACAGATGAATGAGAACTCTGAAGCAACTTTAATAATGCACGTATACTGATTCATTTCACTGATTTCTGCTATTCTCCATTATAAAAAGTATTGTTTTAGTGCTATTAGTGCATTTTTATTGAAGAGGAACATTGTAGGTTTATTATTTTTTTTGTCTCCCAAATTACCCTTTTGAGCAAGAAAACACATGAATGGGAAAATAAGTCACATATTAGATTTGTTTTTTTTTTCATTATTCTGATTGAACAAAACAATAATTATTGCCTACCTATAGAAAAAAAATCACAATCCTTCCAACAATAGAGAAAGACTTGTGCATCTTTTACACAGTGATAGAAAACATGGTAACACAGTGAAGACACTGATATGTTTCACTTTGGCCAATGTGCACTGAATGGATTGCCGGCAAGATGCCCAATCCATTAGGGTTAATTGAGTAACCTCTTCCTCCAAGACACTTTAAGCCAGTCATTGCATCTTTACAACCTGCTCATGCAATTTAGCCAGCTAAACACAATTACTACAACAAATGATTACTGCCCAACATGGATATTACTGGATATAAGAACTAAGCTATTGCTCCATTGCTGTTGGTCTTTGACTAGAAAGTTTCTAGAGTCTTTTTATCTGTTTCAATACAATGTTAATATGTTTTAAATGTAGACAAGTTTAATTTACATTAAAATAAATTTTGAAATACATTTCAAAATGTGTCTGTCTTTTTTAGCACCTTTTCAGGGCATTGTTCTGCTTTTGTTTTCATAAACCTGTCTAGGTAAGCGCATGAGAAATCCCTCCATTGGCATATGAATGTCCAAACAGCAAACTAACCAGCCCAGGAATGGGTCACAATTCATATAAAGGAGTATCATCTGCTGGTATAAGGAAAATAAAGGCATGTTTTAAAATTTACTTTTTAGATATCAACCATGATGAAATTATTCTTAATTTTGATTTATAATTAAAAGGTGTAGCCCTAGATTATTTATGTAATAACCCATTTACTTTGAGTTCTGAGTCCAAAATCTAAATGAGTTTGCAGTTTTCTCTGTAGGAACCAATTATTATGTCATTATCTGTTGTTTTAAGACAAGAACTTTCTGACCTTTCTTCTTAGAGGTGGAAAATTGATCTATCCAGGATTTAACGGATGACAGGTGCCAGGGCAAATCAGCTTTCTTCGTCAAATTTGTAATGCATTTCAAATAAACCCTAAATACTGATTTTCCAAGTAGTTTTTGTAAAAGCAGCAGTTATCTGTGCAACTGTGACAACTCCAAAAAAAAATGTTTAAAAGTTTAAATAAAACCCTAAATAGAACTATTCTTGCCAATTGTGTAGCATTTTTGCTTCACACTACTACTAGCAAAATTTGGGAAAGAAATCCTCCAGAAACACAGCAACATATACAAAGACACAATAGGGTTAATTTTTGTAATCAGTCTTCATCAGGCATCATGTCTTGACATCTTATAATCAAATCATGACTCTCTGAAAACAAATCTATTGAATAATATATAAGAATCAAACTAACTTCACTAATATATAATATAAGATTACACAAATAATATCCTTAACTGTGTCATTTACCAAGTAGACAATAATTTGTAAGATATGTATGTTTAGCACTACAGTTAACCTTTGGAAATTGAGTGTTATTTCTTGCTTTTTTCTATAGACAACTATTCATATTTCCATTCATGTAAACATACATAATTACAAGTTCAATTACATAATAAAGTTGTATAACATTTACAATTGCATTTAAGTCTGATAAGCAATTGATAAATCACAAAATGCTTTGGTTATCACCAGTGACAAGGTCTTTCTAAGGGTTAATGTGATAAAGGCAAAGAGTTTATTGACATTGGATATGATGTATGTTGAATTTACAGGAAGCAAAATATGACGTTTTGACATGGAGAACAATCTTTTTGGTATAAAGGATATACCATGCATGGTACATTAACTGGTGTTCAGATGTTGCTGCATTCACAGGGATTTATGAGGTTTTGCACATTGAGACGCTACTTGTCTACAGTTGTTCCTTCCCTTAATTCTTTACCAAGTATAATGTCTAGTAGCAATTGTGGGGTCCAGGCACCTCAGCGCAGACCTATTCCAGCTTGTTTCTTGTCATGTTACTATATTAACATAGTTATGTTTAGTAAATTAGATAGACAACTGTAAATCTTTTTCAAAGAACACATCCAGTGCATGGCTATGAATAATGGCCAACTTTCATGACAGGCTTTTACTAGGCCATGTGCTAGATAAAGGTCAAGGAAACAAAAAAGGAAAAAGATCAGGGAAAGGAACAGATGCCCCTGTTACATTCATTCTGGTTTAACTTCTGTAGGTAATTATTCATGTTCATGTTCATTTCATGTTTAATTACATAATAGGTTACATAACATTTACAATTACATTCAAATCTCATAAATAATTAATAAATCACAAAATGCTTTGGTTATCACCAGTGACAAGGTCTTTCTAAGGGTTAATGGGATAAAGGCAATGATGTTATTGACATTGGACATGATGTATGTTGAATTTACTAGAAGCAAAATAAATATTATGGATACATTTGTTTTCATTCCTTTATGACATGGAGAACAATCTTTTTGGTATAAATGATATACAATGCATGTTATATTAACTGGTGTTCAGATGTTGCTGCTTTCACAGGGGATTTATGAGGTTTTACACATTGAGACGCTACTTGTCTCCAGTTGTTCCTTCCCTTAATTCTCTACCAAGCATAACTTCTAGTGGCAATAATGGGGTCCAGGCACCTCAGTGCAGACCTTTTCCAGCTTATTTCTTATCATTTTAATATATTTATATAGTTATGTGTAGTAAATTAGATGGACAACTGTAAATCTCCAAGAACACATCCAGTACATGGCTGTGAATAATGACCAACTTTCATGACAAGCTTTTGCCAGGCCATGGGCTAGATAAAGATCAAGGAAAGAGGAATGGCAAAAGATCAGGGAAAGGAACAGATGCCCCTGTTGCACTGCATTCATTCTGGTTTAAATTCACTAATATGTTTGTGAGCTGTGTTACATGCTAAACAAGTGGAGCAAGTTTGCATAATATTGTAATATTGTTAGGCTCAAATGTGACATTTTTGTTCTAGCAGACTAATCTCAGGGCACTTTTTATGGAATACATGCACCAGTGTTGAATATTCTTTTAGCATCCCTTGAATTCATGTTTGTCATGTTTGCATGCCAACTCCATGTAAACACATGCAAACCATCCTGTACTTCCTTTACTCTGATGTGCTTGTGTACAATAACAAAACTGTACCTCATTCAAATAAGTCCCTCAACACTTCATTTGTAAGTTCACCTATGAAATAGAAATAGGTCACAGTATGCCTGAACACACATCAGCTTTCAAGCAATACCATCTGTTATGGAATCTAGTTAATCTGGGTTAAAATTGATCTATAATATCACTCTGACAGTAATGAACATAAACGATCCCGGATTAAAAAATATCCAGACATCTTTCTCCAAATAAAGAGCCATTGCTTGTGTTCAAAGAACTAACCTCAGTTTGTTGGTCTTGGGGCTGGCAGGTTATGATAAACTATTTCCACTCTCTGTAGTCTTAGCTACATAAGCCTTCAACATAAAGCTATAGGTCTATAGGTAAGATATATATTGCTTATTAGATGTAGTTTATTGGCCCATGGAGCCCCACGCTCCCCTAGACAGTTACAGAATGAGAAGCTGTTCTCTATGAAAGTGGAAAAACTAGTTCAACCACCTTTGAGAGGCATTACGGGTAGTGTTACTGACCTAATTTGAATTATGTGCTGGTAAAGCTGAATGTGAAGTAAGGCTTTATTGATGAATACCCAGATAGAGCTGCACCACTTGAGTCAATGTGGGTTAAGTGCCTTACCCAAGAAGGTACTGGCAGACTAGTCATTTCTAGAATCCTGTAACTGACAACTCTGTGGTTGACCAACAAGGATGTATTATGACCAGTCCTTTTCAGGAAAATGACACTGGAAGCAGTGTTGGTGGCCACAGGTGTGAACATTTACCTATCAAAAACACACCAACCAGTGCTTTTGCACACAAATGAACACAAAACCAGCAGCATCTTAAACTTTGACTTTTCAATCCTCTTGTCTTCTCTTACATTTGCATCTTTTCAGCTTGGAGGGTTGTTTCGGTCAATATGTGCTAGGTTGTCACATTTGCTGTCCTCCCAGCTGAGCGAAAGCCTAATAAGGGCTAATTCTTCTTCCCCAAATCCGACTCAGGTGTTCATCAAAATGAGGAAGAGCACTGGAACCAAACCTTAGGGATAGAGGGCAAATCTGCCCCCAAGCCACCCCAATCCTGGCTCTCTCTTTAGCACAGCTCCCGGGATTGAAATTTGGGTGGTTTCCTGTGGCTGTGCTACCAAATGGGAAGTAAGGTTTGGGAGAGACATCATCAAGGAAACACCAATGTTAAAAATGAATACTCCAGTTGACCCCAGTATTGAAAGGAGACTGTGTTGATATATGTGTCTCATGATAACCTGCCTTATACTGCACATTTGATACAATCTCATGCAAAGTGCTTTACACTTCCTCATTACTGGAACTGTCTCCGACCAAAGGCTGAAGGAAATAAACCAAAACAAGACCCAGATGGTATCTCCCACGAATTGCATATAACAGAGGTGGAGCAGCATTAGGGACATATTATAGGAAGAACATAACATGGGAGAAAATGAGACATTTTCATCCTGACCAGCTTGTGTTTTGTAAATGCGGTAGAAGAAAGAGCACTGCCTGAGCATTCATCTTCATGGTGTGAGTTGGAGTGTTTGAAATCATTCTATTCACTTTGATATTTAGGTCCCACTTTATATTAAGTGTCTCTAATAACTGTGTAGTTACACATGTATAACATATGCAACAACACTAACTACTGATTTAGTCAATGTTACAGATGGGTTACAGAAGTACAGCCTATGTTATTACACATGTGTATCAACTTCAGTTTTGCCTCATGTAATTACACAAGTGTATCTTTAAAATAAGTGGACAGTCCCTGTGTAGTTATGTAAGTACTGTGTAATAATGGTAATATAGACACTGCTTTGGGAGAAATGCAACACATTTAATTAATGACAAAAAAAGCTGCATTTTAAGATGAGGGGGCGTCTGCTGTACTGTCACATTACAGAATGGTTTAAAGTGGAAACTGGTTACAATGTCTCAGTAAGAGCAACATAAATGCTAGCTAAATGTTAGGAAAGCTGGCAGATACAGTGTAAGTAATGTCTTAATGTACATTATTAGATACTTCCTTTTACTGCTGGAAGGAAAAACATCTGAAAAAAAATGCAGTCCCACTCTGATTACAAATGTAATTACATATATATTATTACCATTGTGTAATTACAGGAAATAATAGGCTGTTACAACTATTAAGATACACTTGTGTAATTACATGAGGCAAAACTCAAGTTGACACACATGTAATTACATAAGGTGTATGTCTGCAATCCATCTGTAACAGTGACTAAATGATTAGTAGTTATTAGGTATTAGGTTGCTGCATATGTTGTTCACATGTAACTATACAGTTACTAGAGACACTTAATATAAAGTCGGACCGATATTTATTACATGACAATGTAGGAATGTTATGAAGTTATTTTGAATCTAAACAGGTTATGAACTAAATTGTTCTGTCAGAAATGAATTTCAGTTGTCTTGCTTTTCCCAGATCAGTGTGTACTTTGTCTCCGCTGGGAAGTTCATTTAGTCAAATACTAAACTAGACTCCTAATAAGTTACAGATGCGTACAAAAAATTTTGTCGTCTTCATTCCATAAGTTTCTCAGAGTTTGTGTGTTATTATGTATACTTTTCATTTTGAATCTCAGAGCTACTGCAGACAGAACTGCACTGATTTGGCCACCATGGGTATATATTCTTAGTATAACAATATAATAATAATAATACTAATAATAATAATAATAATAATAATATATTGAAATATAATAAGAATATGATAAAACAGTAAAAAAAAAAACAAGTTATAAATAACATTTACTGAAAGAAACACTGAACTACACTGAAATGTTAACTTGCGGTAGATAAAAACACTAGATGCTGGGTTCCCAGACACCCAGACAGGGATTAAGACTAGTCCTAGACTACACAGCAATCTGAATACAAGATCATTCTCCATTGAAATGAAAATTCTTGTATGGGAAACTGATCCTAAAATAATATTTCACTTTAAAATCAGCCAGCTTGTCATTAAAAAATTTCAGTTTTATTTACTGTAGGGTCTACTTTTTATCACTCTATCAGATCATGTGAAGCTACACCATTAATTGAGAATTAAAAAATTCTTTTTCATAACTAATTACTGCAAAAACACCTTGCATAGTTGTTGTTTTTTTTATTTTATTTCTATCAGAAATAAAGATTTAGCAAAGTATTTCATTCAAAATGCCATTTAAATTAATGTTTTATACTTTTCATTTTCTCTGTTGACTACTGTCATTTTGCTTTGTGGGCAATGCCCCCCAGGTATAGCATGTTGATGACCATCTCTTGACTGGATGCCTCTGTGTCAAATGTAACTGTGCCCAAATTTAAATGCATGAAACTGAAGAAAACAAGAACAAGATAGACAAGGGCAATTTAATGCATGGGCTTACCTGGGCTTAAACCCAGGGGCCTCTAACTGAACCTTTATGAGATTTGTGTATTCCACTTACACCACCTGGGCCTACCCAGATTGATCACAGGCTTACCCAATCGAATGAAAAAAAAAGTATTATTAACATATTATTTAAAAAAATAATATTTTCATAAGCCAATAAACCAAAATATGGTAAAAGGAAATTTGATTTGTTTTCTGAGATTGATGGCAGATCAAATCATGCGCTCTCCAAGCTACAACTTTTTCCCAGCCTGTATGGATTGTGTATTCCACTGCCCAAATAAAGGCCTTTCACACTTGCAGCCAACTATATGTCTGCTGTGTCTACAAATAAGTTAAATAACCACATCATATTTTTGTTACAACCAAAAAAATTAGAAAATTTAAGTACATCGAACAGATTTAATAATTTCACATTGAGAACATTTTTTGTAGTGTAGAAATACAGCTGAGACTGAAGTGCAATGTTTTGAACACAGCTAATAATGTTATCTTATGTTCTTAAAGTGTAATTTCAATTTGTTAATTTTGTGGCTTTCAGAAAGTCCCCACATTTTGTACCTTCATTATTGTTATGCTGGTTACAAAAATGCCAGTTCTTCCGTCACATTAAGAATTTCAAGGGTTGTTTGTTCAAAGATCTGATGAATAAATACAAAATAAAACCACACCAAGAAAACTAGTCAAGCTAATCTTTTCTTCACAGCTGTTATGTAAGTCGAGTATAAATTCTCACTCTGTATCATGTTTACAACTTATGACTCAAAATGCAAAAAACTCTTGAATGAACCTTTTGACAACATTGCAGGTTTGTCCAGGTAGCATCAGCTGTCTACATGGGTGATATGAGGTTATTTATGAGCCTTATCCATGTAGAATGTATGATTCTGCACAGATGCAAAACATCTTGATTGCAAAACTGTTAGCTAGCTAGTAAAGTACTGTTGCAGCTGTATCAGTGGTTTAACTTGCAACTGAATTGTTTCACTCCAACTCACCTAGAAACTGACTTTTTCTTTTTTCCTCTTTTTCTTTTTAGCAATGAGTTATATAAGTTTTACTCCACACAAACTTTCTCTTTAGAAAACAGCAAATTGATTTTTTGTGAAGACATTTTGAATTTAAATTGTAGGTTAAAATAGCTTAAAGTACTTTTAACATTTCCTGAAAAGCAATTTAAAACAACATGTAGAGCCAAATCCTTCACCAACTTTATTACTTAGACAAGAATTACAAAGTAAAACAGAGGCACCATACAAAGTTGCATCTAATAGTAAAGTCAAAAATTCAACTCTGCATGATCATGTAGGACAGGGGTTACCAATCTTTTCTGGTTGCAGACTTTCATTCCAAACAAACAAAGACACCTCATTTAGCTAAACAATTATTTGAGGACTGAGACTAACTAAATAGGTAGAATCAAGTTCTGCTAAAATGGAATGAAGACCTGCCATCAGACCTGCCCTCTGTGTACAAGATGATGTATGATGTCTGGCTTAAATTTAACTATGAACAGAAGTGTTATGCACAGTTTTTAAACTCCTTAAGCAATTTGGGTCATACCACTACCAACTTCACCAATGAAGGACTGGACAAAAGTCACTTTAAAAGGAAAACAATGGAAAACCATCAATCAACAAGATAAATTTACAAAATATATTGCAAAAGGAGATTCTAGTGTAGATGTTCATGTAAATGCTAGCCATTTGCTTCTTACTCTACTATAGTATACATGAAGAATGTGTATAGGTGTGAACATACATGTTTATTTCTGTCTTTAATATATTTTGCTTTATATTAGATATTTAGACATGCAAATTGTAACTGTTTCCCTGGTCTGGCTCCATCCCTCAGCCCTAGTTCTCCTATGTCATTACTATCACCTGTGTTTTGTTTATAGCCCTTCTCATGCTTGGCTGTTCTGCTTGGCACACTCTCATTCCAGCCTGAGTATATAATCTGGATTCACCGGTGAAGTTGTTACTTGCCATCTTGAAACAAGTTACATTATTTTGTTAAGTTACATTGGTACCACACTGAAATAAGACTACCCTTATGAAGGGCTTGTAACACATATGTAAAAAGGTCAAAGGTGACCCCTTGATTGTCAAATAGTGAGCCCATATTTATCTACACTGTTACACCTCTGGTTGCTGACCCTACTTTGTCTTCTCATCAGTCAGCATTAAAATGGTCAGCTTCATCTGATATTCATTTTCATCAAATATGTGTTTATGACCTAGTTAATAACCATTAATAAGCTCCTAATAAGGGTAGTCATGTTGTAAAGTGTCAGTAGGTTATGTGAAGTGGACACTTGGTCAGTAGTCATGTCTATGTTCAACATGCTTCATGAGACAGGCCCCAGGTGTTTCTAGTCTCATTTCCTTTTGTGCTCTGATGTTTCTAGTTCTGGATCCATTGATGTTCGACACAGATGATGGACCACAGCCGCTTTAGTCTTGATGTTTGAAAGAGAGAAAAAAGGAACAAGGCAAGATTTTACAGTGCAGTCTAATAATCTTCACAGTCATACAGACAAAAAACTAACCTTCATAGGCGATGCAGATGAAGTTGAGTTTCTGAGTCTCAGGCAGGCTGACCCACTGCTGACCTCCTCTAGACTGCACTGCTCCAGTTCTCTCTACAGAGCTGCAGTCTTCTCCTCCTGTCCCGTTACCTGGAGCCCAGTTCTCGTAGCAGATAGGTGAAACATTCAACCAGTACCAGAAGCCCGGAGTGCAGGTGTGACGCAGACCCAGCCACACATGTTCAGTGGAGGCTTTCTGTGCCACCATCATCACCCAGAGCTGGATCTCCTCAGAGTGAACTGAGACCAGATCCACATGATTATCTCTGCAGTATCTCAGAGCTTCTCTCCAGGTCAGATTCTGATTGATCAAGATCAGCTTATCTGGAGATAAAAGAAAAGAGTGTGTGCAATTCAACCAAGAAGCCAACCTTTTATCTGGTTTGCATAATCAATTTGTACAATCAATACAAAAAGTGAAATAAAGCTCACTCTCATGGCAGATGAAAGGTAAAGTGGTTTGACATGGTCTGTCTTCCCAGCTGCCCATTTGCTGTCCTGATGCAACAACTGCTACACAGTCCTCATTACTAAGAGTGTCATCTGGCTGTCCAGCCCACCAGTTCCTATATATGGAGTTACTCTGATCTGACCACCCCCAGGACTCTCTGAACATGCCAAACCAGACAGGGGTTCCATTAGCTACTTGATGGATATTCTGGTTCTCACTGTCGTTCCTCACACTGGGCAGGTCTGCGTACTGCTTTCGGCAGTAGATCTGAGCATCAGGAAAGGTCTTTTGCTGAGTAACCAAAACTAATTTTGTGATGGCTGTTTTCTTTCCTGAAAGAAAATTGTAGTACATCATGAACAGCTCCTTTATATTTTCACAACTTGAAAAGAATGTCTGACAGCAAAAGATGGAGGGTGGGAGGTGGACGTGTTGCTGGTAAATGTGTAAACCCTTTAGAATTCTTAGAATTCTCAAAATTATTGAATAAATTTCACCTAAAATGTAGATTTTAGTGAAATAATTTTTGGAGATCATTTTGACAAAAACTGCTGTTTCTTGTAGACATGAGGCCAAAAAAAAACAAAACAAAATCTAAATTATCTGGATATTTGGGTGGGGCTTTTGGAGATAACCAAAACAGTTTAAACCACTGAACAAATATTTAAAAAAATAAATTAATAAAAAACAATTCTGTCTGTCTACAACTGACATATGTGTCTTCGTTGTGATATTCAGTGATCAATTCATGATTTCTTGAACATTTCTGGAACAGTGTCAGAGGGCTAAAGCTAACATAATGTAATTTAAACCTATGTTTGAAAAAAATATACACACCTATATTTATACTTATTGATATCTCATGCTTATATTTAATATTAAAATGCAAATAATCAGAGGTGGGAACAAGTCACTAAGTTGCAATTAACAAGTCTCAAGTCTTGACACTCAAGTCCCAAGTGATCTTACATCACTTCAGACAGAAAAGGGGACATACACCCCCGGCCCCCTCTGAATTTGCACCAGTATGTTTCAGTATTGACAAATTTTGACTAAATTCTTAAAATAACACAAATAGCTTTCAAAGTATGATTAGTGATTTTCTAAATATTAGCAAGCAGCATAAAGTTTAAAGGAATTTTAAAAGAAAAGGGAAAAGTAAAACATTTTCTAACCTCCAATTTGAAACAATTCTGTATTTTTAAATTTGTTTTAAAAATTTTAAATTGCTTCAGTCTACTGTAATGCAAACAACCTCTAAAGTGCATATTCTTACCTGTGTAACATACAAAATAATATTTATTTGTGCATTCATCATCAGTCCACAATCCATCAAAGCCCCGCATGAAAACACAGGAGTTACTCTTTAGTCCGTTGTTTGGCTCTCCTGGCAACCAGTTAGTGTAGGACTGTCCATTTATGAAGGAGGTGCCATCTTCCAAAGACCACAGCCATTTCTGACCATCTACTCTATTTAGGCCGATCCACACACATCCAACTTGATTTTGAAGCATGGCTTTCACGGTGTTCATCTCTTCCAGGTTGTTGATGGTGGCCAGATCAGTGTAGGTCTGTCTGCAGTATCTCTGAGCTTCAGTCCAGTTTTTATACTGATTCACGAAGTGATACCGATGAGGAAGGTATGAAGCCACACAGACCACTGTGCAGAATAAGAAAAAAAGAGTCACATCAGATCTTCTTGCAGCAAAACAGAAATACCAAAAACACTCATGACAAAATTTCTTTCAGACAAACCAACAAATGCAAATGAGGCAAATACAGTCAGGTCAATAAATATAAACGGGTGTTTACATCCACATTTGGTGAACATTGAATTGCATTTTCAATGTGTGTTTACATCCACATTTGGTGAACATTGAATTGCATTTTCATAAATAGCCCCCCATTCTGAGGGGCTCAAAAGTAATTGGACAATTGACTGTGCAGCTGTTCCATGTCTAGGTGTGTTTTATCCCCTCATATTTAATTCACAAGTAAGCAGACAAAATATCGCGTTGATTTCAAGTGTGGCATTTGGAATCTGTTTATTTCAATATAATCCCCAAAGCAATATCAAGGAAGTGAAGCAAACTTTTAGATTCAAACTTTTAAATTCAAAACAGTTCAGAAAGAGTAAAACATCACATAGAACATGAAAAACAATTGTCGTGGAGCCAAGGTCCCAGGTGAAGAAAAACCCCTTTACAACAGTTTGCTAGATCAGCAACACCCTCCAGGAGACAATGATCAAGAGGTCAAGAGACATCTTCATCAAAGTAAATAAAAAGGGTTTACCCCAAGATGTAAACCATTGTTAAGCCTCAAGAACAGGAAGACCAGATTAGAGTTTGCCATCTAAAAAAGCCTGTACAGTTCAACATTTTCTGCACAGATGAAACAAAGATCAACAGAATGTACCAGGATGATAGGAAGAAAAGAGTATGGAGAAGGGAAGGAACTGCTCATAATCCAAAACATAGCACCTCATCTATTGAACATGGTGGAGGTAGTGTTATGTCACAGGCATGTATGGCAGCCAATTGAGCTTGTTCTCTGATATTTTTTGATGATGTGTCTGCTGAAAAGAAGCAGGATGAATTCTGACATGTAAAAGGCTTGAAGTGTATATTATCTGCACATTGGACACATTGGACGCAGATAGACAATGACCCAAATCATACCACTAAGGTAACCTAAGCCTTTTTAAGGCAAAGAAGAGCAATTTTCCATATTGACCAAGATCATCACCTAACCTCAATCCAATATGTCTGTGGTAGAGAGCTAACATAACAATAACTGTCAATATCTAAATGTTTATAGACCTTACTGTTAATCAGTTGAAGAAGGCAAAGAGACAAAGACAGTTTTCTGCACAAATACAAAACCCATGTAGTGTCTAGCTCAGTATTTGACTACGTGAAACGTCTACTAGAGACAAAGTGCTCACTGACCTGTGAACAACAAGACTAATGAAGTCCATTTCTGATCCATTTCTGAGAGAGTGTATTTCTCAACCTAGATGTTTAGATTACATTTGAAGTTTTAATACCATTTCAGCACATCACTGCATTCACATTGGCATATGAAAATGATCACAGATAATAATAGACATACTCACACCAACAATCCAAATGCTTAACAATCCTTTTTGAAAAACGTTCTCCAACGTATTTGTAAAAGAATACCGTGGTAGAAGGGTAAATGATGCTGTTCTCTCTGTCTTGATGTTTTCTTGTTGTTCCCATCTCATGTAATGCTCATATACAGTATCTTTATATCGCTTGCTTGATACCAACCCACCTTTGTTGCACATAGTCACAGAGAGATACCATCACAGTCTTATTTTACCTTGCTTTGATCAATCATTGCCCCATGACAGTATCAGTTAATGCCTAGAGCAAATTCAAATGAATATCTCTGGAGAGTTACAATGTGAAACAAAGCTTGAGGCATGAGGTTCCATCACGTGTGAAGAAGGGTGCAGGTGGTTTTACCTCGGAAAACCACTAATCAGCACCTCATCAGAGATGTTAATCAGTGTGGCCTTCTTTGTTTTGGGATGCATGAGGATGTGTCATATCGCCTAATGCATGTGGGCACCTAACCATCACACCTATGTGAGCTTGATGGATATTCTATTCCAAAATCATGATCACTTGCCCCCCACCTTTGTGGCTGTAGTCTGCAGGAATTTGTGCCAGTCCAAAGAGCATTTGCGAGGTCTGTGCGAGATCAGGGCTCTGTGCAAGCTACTGAAATTCCTTGTCTTTACAGACCTTGCTTTGTGAAGAGGGGCACAGTCATGCTGGAACTGTTCCCACAAAGCATGTAATTGCACAAAATGTCTTTGTATGCTGTAGCAGGAATGTCCATCATAGTGGCAGATAGTAAAGAGTGATTTATCATTCCAGAGAACACATTCCCACTGCTTGAGATTCCAGTAGTGGTCCATTTTACTCCATTCCAAGCAACACATTTACAGTACAGGCAGACTGTATTGTATCAAAGACTGTATTGTATGGCTACCATAATACTATTGCAAAAATAGTGTAATAATACACAGTATCACAGTAACACACAGTATCTTCAGCTTTTCTAAAGCAGCAAAGGACCATCACCTACATTCTTCCTTCCTTCTGGGTCACGGTGGGGTGCTGGAGCCTATCCCAGCTGTCATTGGGCGGAAGGCAGGATACACCCTGGACAGGTCGCAAGCCCATCGCAGGGCAGACAGACAGACATACACACACCTAGGGGCAATCTAGCATATACAATTGGCTTAACTGCATGTTTTTGGACTGTGGGAGGAAACCGGAGTACCCGGAGGAAACCCACGCAGACACGGGTAGAACAGGCAAACTCCACACAGAAACGACCATGGTCGCCCAGCCGGGAATCGAACCCAGGCCATTCTTGCTGTGAGGCGACAGCGCTACCCACAGCGCCACCGTGCCACCCCCCATCACCTACACTGCAACTGAATTTTGTTTTGCAGTTTTACATTACTTAAATAAGTTTATACTTAACAAGAGGCAAAGTTAGCCTAGGTAGCTCCTTCACAACATGTTAATTTACCTAGCCCAACCTGTACCAACATAAAACACATGTTATTAAAGTTAACTTTATTTTTGGTCATTATACAGGGTGATTCAAAAAGATTCATCCAATTTCAAAATGATTTATTTCACTTGTAAATCAAAACAGAACACACAGTAAATTGTAAATGGTTTAAATGAGCATAAAGTTTATTATGTAATTTTACAAGTGCTCAATATGAACCTCCTCCAGCTGTACGACATCAATGCCATAGTCAAATTCATCCCATACTTGATTGATCACTCACGGCTCTTTCAATGTGATTTTGGAGATCATCCGGTGTTGTGGAACCAACGACAAACACTCTGAGCTGTTGGAGGTTCACTGCTGACAAAAATCACGCTGCACAGTTATGACGGATTCACTCTTATTGAAGTGGAGAACGCAAAACGCTTTCTGCTCAGTGGTCACATCTCAGAAACTCTATGACCCCCTCTTTCAATTGGTAAGTGATTGGTTCCTAGGCCTCACCGCCTCACGGTTGTAAAAATATGGCGCTTTGAAATCAGATTAATCTTTTTGGATCACCCTGTATATAATTATAGCAGATTTTCATATAGAAACTTTCACTTTGTAAATATCCTTTTTCTTTGTAAGCATCTAATTAGAACTGCTACAATAATAAATAATAATAATAATAATAATAATAATAATAATTTCAGGTACCCATGGGATTCAGTCTCTATGGGATTTGCAGTGTGTTGTTAGCACTAAACTAATGGTGGTGTCCCTTCACTATACATGTGACTTTTTAAATTTGTATATTGTATTAATTGAATATTTATATAAATACTTTAACATAAAGCCTAACTCTGCTGCCAGTTAGTTACTGTAGATTTACAGAATATTTACTTAGTGTTCTGCACAATGTATACTAGCTGGGACAAGAGAATCTGTTGTGCAACAAATAGTTATATTCTGTGCAACAAATTGGATATTCTGTAAATGCAGCATTGTACCAAAAATAATTAGGTGCTACATCATTGGTGTGCTTGTGCTTTCCTTGTGCCACTCCATGTCCCAAATTCTAGACACTCCATTGCCTCATATATTTTTCTTTTTTATACATAAGTCTCATTTCAGCATATGGAAGGCTTTGCCACAGAGGGTGAAGGGCCAAGACAAGACCAGGTATCAGCTTTAGGTGTCAGTCTTATTTAGAAAGAATGGGGTTTGCTGGTCTAATCAAAATGTTTTCTTGAATATTGAACACTTATTGTCAGCATTTTAGGCGTGGCCAGGCATTATCAGCTGTCTACATAGAATACAATACTTTATGAATAGGCATTTCATTCATATCATTCTGAGTGAAATGAAATTCTGTCAGACAACACTACCAAAACTTTATCAAATGTTTCAGTAGTGAATGTTTTAGTAAAGACAATTTTAGGTAATTTAGAGCAGAACTCAAAAACATTAGTCAGCACATGGCTAAAAACACAGCTTTGAACAGTTTCCACACACAAAATCATGATATTTTTCATTAAAACATTATTAATTGCAGATGTATTTTGGTAGTGGCACTTTTTAATGTTCCAAACTTGAGAGTTTGGGACACAGTTACTTCAAAACAATGGGATTTTTTTTTATTATTATTATTATTTGGGTGGAAGGAACTCAAAGTAAATCTAAAATCTTTGAATTTTACACTTTAAAAAATTAAAAAGATCTTAAAAATGAAATGATATTCTAGAAACAACAGAATGTTGTTACAATAATAATATACATAAAAAGTCAACATTGTACATGCTATTGTGTGGCTCAGAATTGAGGGTGCAACTCATCATAGCCAGAAATCTGTTATGTAACAGTTTTGACTCATTAATATTTATGCCACCAATATTTATATACAACAGCCCACATTCTAGTTCAGCAGACTATGTGCAGAAATGTACCATTCCAAGCTGTGAAGGGATGTCAGTACCTTCAACGGGCATGTCTGATGTTCATCTTTAAACAAGACTTAAGTTGGCTTTCTATACTATCTAATCTTCATAGGTGAGGCAGATGAAGTTGAGTTTCTGGGTCTCAGGCAGGCTGACCCACTGCTGACTTACTCTAGACTGCACTGCTCCAGTTCTCTCTACAGAGCTGCAGTCTTCTCCTCCTGTCCCGTTACCTGGAGCCCAGTTCTGGTAGCAGATGGAAAAACCACTCACCCAGTACCAGAAACCCTGAGTGCAGGTGTGACGCAGACCCAGCCACACATGTTCAGTGGAGGCTTTCTGTGCCACCTCCTTCACCCAGAGCTGGATCTCCTCAGAGTGAACTGAGACCAGATCCACATGATGATCTCTGCAGTATCTCAGAGCTTCAGAGTCTCTAGCAGGCGTGACAGTACCCCCCCCAAAGAGTCCAGGCGGACCTCAGAACGAGCTCGACCGGGACGACCCCTACGCCCACCACCGGGGCTGCATCCGAACTGCCGAGGCGCTGGACCGAGGAATTCCCTTCTTGAGAACGTCGCAGGTGGGCTGGAAGGGAACTGGTCAACCGACCACGGGGGCGGCCCCTGGGGCGAGGAGCTGGCTTCTCCGGGTGTCGGCTATGGAAATCCGCTATAAAGTGCAGGATCCAGCACATCCTTTGCCGACACCCAACATTGCTCCTCTGGGCCATACCCCTCCCAGTCCACCAAATATTGCAGTAGCCCGCCACGTCTTCTGGAGTCCAGCAACCTACGGGCAGCGTAGACCGGAGCCCCATCTATCTCCTCCAGTGGTGTTTGGGTGACATCCGGTGTAACCTCGTCCAAAGGTCCTGAAATGACAGGTTTGAGAAGTGAGACATGAAACGATCGAGATACCCAGAAACGTGGGGGTAAGTCAAGTCTATATGTGACATCATTAATTCTCTTAATCACTTTGAAAGGCCCAATATATTTGGGCTGCAATTTACGACAACTTCCCTCAGTGTTGCGGAAATCCCTCGTAGCTAGCCACACCCGATCCCCTGGTTGATAGACTGGCGTTGGACCTCTATGGCGATCAACCTGGTCCTTGTGGCGCTGGAGAGCCGTTTCGATCCGTTGGTGTGTCTGTTCCCACACCTGTTCGCTTCTGTTCATCCACTCGTCCACCGCGGGAACATCAGTCTGTAGCTGAGGTGGCTGATATCCGAGGAAGCACTGGAAAGGGGTTAATCCAGTGGTAGAGCTTGTCAGGGAATTTTGGGCCAATTCAGCCCAGACCAGATACTTAGACCAGTCAGACGGGTTCTCATGACAGAAGATCCTTAAAAACTTTCCTAGTTCTTGGTTAACTTGTTCGCACTGTCCGTTTGACTGAGGGTGATAACCTGATGTCAAACTGATAGAAACTTCTAAATGTTCGAAGAAAGCTGCCCAAACCTGTGATGTGAACTGTGGTCCCCTGTCGGACACAATGTCCTCGGGTATTCCAAATACCTGAAAGACATGCTGGAACAATGCTTGTGCTGTCTGGAAGGCACTGGGAATGGATGCGAAAGGCACAAATCGGACACCCCTAGAAAACCTGTCCATTACTGTGAGTATAGTAGTAATGTTCTGAGAGAGGGGCAGATCAGTTACAAAATCTATAGCAATATGTGACCAGGGCCTGTTTGGTACGGGCAAAAGCATAAGATTTCCTGCGGGCAAAGTCTTGGGCGTTTTGCACTGGGAACAGACCGAACATGATGCTACAAATGAATGAACATCTTTCATCATAGATTCCCACCAATATCTTTGTGTTAACAGTTTATGAGTCCTAGTTTCACCAGGGTGGCCTGACGTTAATGAAGAGTGTGCCCAAGTGATTAACTGAGTACAGAAAGGCAAGGGGACATACAGTTTTTGTGGGGGACATTGGCTGGGTATTGGGAGGGTCTGTAGGGCCTTTTCTATTTCTTCATCCACCTCCCAACGTATGGAGGAGATGTTCACTTCATGGGGCAGAATGTGTTCTGGGGTCGTAAGTTCCTTGGGGTTGATTTCTTCTTGAAAGATCCTAGAGAGTGCATCTGCCTTGGTGTTCCGGGACCCGGGTCTATAAGTGATACTGAAACGAAATCGTGAAAAAACAAGCGACCATTGGCCTTGGCGTGAGTTAAGTCTCTTAGCTGTGTGCAGATATTCCAGGTTTTTATGATCAGTCAGAACTGTGAATGGAAATTTGGCCCCTTCGAGCCAATGCCTCCATTCCTCCAGAGCTAGCTTTACAGCTAACAATTCTCAATCTCCTATCCCATAATTTCTTTCTGCAGGGGACAGTTTGTGGGAGTAAAAAGCAATGGGATAGAGTTTTTGGGGGTTTCCAGTTCTCTGGGATAGAACGGCTCCGACTCCAGTCTCGGAGGCATTGACTTCGACTACAAATGGCTGGTTAGGATCAGGGTGGTGTAAGATGGGGGATGTAGTGAAAGCCTCTTTAAGTTGCTGAAAGGCTACCTCAGCTTGCTCAGACCATGTGATTCTCTTGGGGGAACCCTTGAGCAGGGAAGTCAGGGGAGCTGTAATACTGCTAAAGTTCCTTATGAAGTGTCTATAGAAGTTGGCAAAACCGAGAAACCTCTGTAGTCCATTAACTGACACGGGTTGTGGCCATTGCACTACTGCTTCCACCTTGTGGTCATCCATAGTGACACCTTGAGGGCTTATGATGTAACCCAGGAATGCTACTGTCTGTAGATGAAACTCACACTTTTCTCCTTTTAGAAACAAGTTGTGATCAAGTAATCGTTGAAGTACCGATCGGACATGTTTAACATGGTTAGGTCTAGGTTGGGAGAGTATATCAAGATATCGTCTAGATAAGCGATTACATATTGTCCAAGCATATCTCTGAGAACGTCATTTATGAAAGCTTGGAAGACTGAGGGGCGATAGAGAGCCCGAAGGGCATCACCTGATACTCATAGTAGGGATAGACACGAGCTTTGGGTAAAACTGGGTTTTCAAGTAGTTCGATAGCACAATCATAGTCTCTATGTGGGGGCAGTTCTGTGGCCTTTTGTTTATTAAACACCTCTTTCAAGTCAATATACTCGGGAGGAATAACAAACGAGGTGTCAGTATTAGGACTTTCTGGATGCTATGGAAAACGGGAGTATGAAGACATGACTGGAAACAGGAGTCTGACCACTTAGTTATAGTATGCTCGGCTCAAGATATAGTGGGATTATGTTTCTCTAACCAAGGAAGGCCCAAGATCAGTTCAAACTCAGACTGTTCCAAAACTAAAAGGGAATTTCTTCCTTGTGAAGGGCACTAGCCTGTAGTTCAATGGGTTTTGTGAATCTGGAAATGGTGCCCATCCCCACTGGTCCGCCATCTAATGCTGCTACTTTCAACACCGTCGGGAGCTTCTGAACAGGGACCTGTAGTTGTTCCACCAGGTTGGCATGGATGAAGTTCCCTTCAGCTCCGGAGTCGATTAAGGCTAAAATCACAAGAGAGTGGGGATGACAGTAAATTGTGACAGGCAACAAAACTAATTTTGAAACCAACCCCTTTGTGGGAACGCTCACTCATAATGTCTGAAATTCTAAAGAGTAATCGACTACTGAGCGGTTGCCTTGACGTAATTTGGATACAATTCCCCCACTAATTTTACCCTCGTAAGGATGATCGAAAACTGTCTTGAATTCCTTCACAAACTGTGTATATGAGAGACGCTGTATGTGACCCCCGCTAGCAGTAGCCCATTCTAACGCTTTATCAGCTAAGCGTGAAACTATAAATGATATCTTTGCTTGATCGGTGCTGGCCGGTGTGTTATCAAAATACACAGAACATTGTAGCAAAAACCCTCTAAATTTGTCAGGGTCCCCTGAAAACTTATCAGGTTTACTAACCGGAAAAATGTTTCGAGTGTTGTCCGCAGCAGCAGTTTGGAAATCGGTGACAGTCGTGGGTTCCGTTAAGTTCATAGCTTGGAGTTGCCCAGTCAGTCCCTTCGTGCTAGCCACCAATTGGGCTAACTGCGCCTGCTGTTCAGCTTGTTGTTGTGCGAGGGTTTCCAGAGAATGTGTTACTCCGGATAAGACATACTGGTGTCTGCACAATAGCTGCCCTTGTTCCGACAATGCTTTCTGAAAAGCATCCAAATCCGCTGTCTGCATGTTTGGCGAGGTATTCTGTAACCAGTCAGAAATGTTCAGACGCGTGTGGATAAAAGTGAAAGTACAGGCTTTATTAACACTAGGCAAAGTCGTAGTCGAAGTACAGGCGGGCGGTCAAAACCGAAAGGCAATAGATGATCACAAAGGTGATCATAACCACAGTCAAACAAGTCCAGAGGGCGAGACAAAAGGCAGAGTCAAAAAGGCAGGCAAAAAGGTCAAAGTCACAAATCCCATAAACAAGCAAAGGTACCAAAGGAGAAAGCAAAAAACGTAGTCAGGCAAAAACGAGATCAGGGTCAAAATAGTATAGCTGGGTAATGGAGTCCACAAGGGATTCTGACTCCATTGGGAAGTCTGCCGTCACGTGATCTCCCAGGTTATCCTGGGAAATGTAGTCCGTTACACTAGACGAGTCTCTAGCAGGCGTGACAGTAATATTACCTATGTACTTGTGTGTATTATTGTTTTTCCCCTATTTTTAATAGTAAGATGAAGATCTAATCACATTTTGAGTCTTCTATATGGCTCACAAACTTTTCTAGTACAATGGCAATCAATCATTTACTAGTAAATTGGCAATACATTTTCAGTATATTCTCACTGCATTCTGTACATTGTAAAATGCATGCTCCTACCTGTATAACATACAAAATAATATGCATTCATGCAGTTATCGTCAGTCCACGTTCCATCTTCCAGCATGAAAACACAGGAGTTACTGTTTGCTCCATTGTTTGGCTCTCCTGGATTCCAATTGCTATATGACTGTCCATTTATAAAGGAGGTGCCATCTTCCAAAGACCACAGCCATTTCTGACCGTCTCCTTTCTGTAGGCCGATCCACACAAGGTGTTCAGCTTTATTCTGAAGTGTGGCTTTCAGTGTGTTCATCTCTTCCATGTTGTTGATGGTGGCCAGATCAGTGTAGATCTGTCTGCAGTAGCTCTGAGCTTCAGTCCAGGTTTTACTCTCACTAACAAAGTGATATCGATGAGGAACATATGAAGCCAGACAGAAAACTGTATTAAATTAAAAAGAAAAAAAGGTCTTTTCAGGTCATATTTTTCTGCAGTGGAACAGAAATACCCTTATCTTAAAATACTCACATGACATAATTTCTCACACATGTTCTATGCAAACAGACAAATGCAGAGGAGGTAAATAGTCAGGTCTATCAATATTTGGGCGTTAAGGAAGTTGTTATTGTAGCT